TCACACTCAGCATCGCCAAGAACCAATAGAATAGCTCCGCATGCACCTGGTTCAGATCCTGCCCTTCCACCCAGCCCATCTTGTTGCTCGTTCGCTTCCTCGTCACCGAGTTTATCATATCTACGAAAGCTGAGCTCAAGTAGTATCCCATGGCTAGCGAAAGCCACGAGAATGAAGTCGACAGAGATCGCATGCCTACACGAATGCATGCGTATGTCAGTTTCTAAATATGATATAGTGATCGATTCAATATAATAATCATTTAGTGTATATATGTGCATATACCTGCGGGTGCTTCCTTGTAGAAGAACTCCATGAGGCCGACGAGGGTGAACATGTCAGCGATTCCGAAGATCGCGTAGTGAAAGGAAAGCCAGAACAAGCTGATTTTATGTTGGTGCTGGTTGAATTGGTTCTTCCTCTTGACTTCCACGATGCCGGCGACGGCCATGGAGATGGCTGAGAGGACAAGACCCACCCCGACTCGCTGGAGGTGGGTGATACCGTTGGGGTGGCCGGTGATGCGGCGGAGGAGGGGGACGAAGGCGAACTCGTAGACAGGGATGAGAAGGGACATGAAGAGCAAGGGGATGATGGGGATGGAGGCAGCCGGGACCTCGAAGTTTCCGATTCGGGTGTTCATGATGGAGCCTTGTTGGACCGACACGGTCTGAAGTTGTGCCAGGCACGTGTTCATGATGATGGTGCTCAGAAGAATGGGCATCATTCTGGTTAAGATCTTCACTTCTTCCACCTGTGTTACTGTGCACACTTGCCATTTCTTCGCTTCTGTGGTTCCTTTTGGAAGAACGGCCGCCTTGTCCAGTAACCTGCGTTCCCAATCACCAAATTTTAATTCCAGCATATATCATCAAAAAACTTTGTGACTGATCTATAGAGGGTTGCCACCTAAGTTGTTTAGTGTGAGGCATGGGTTTTTCATGACGATTTTTAACTTGGTATAACTCGTGGGCATTTTCAGGTACTTGCACCTTCCGATTCTTGACTGCCACCACCAAAACCTGCCAATGAATTAATACGATTAAGACTTACAGAAATTCATAGAACTTATAGGAGATCGGTAACAATAAGTGAGTGTCTATATATATTAACCTCCAAGACTCTGAGCAAAGGGCTATTCCCTGGTTCACGGACACGATAGAAAGGCTTGCCCAAGGTAATGAAAACGAGACCAGCAGCAGCACAGGACATGGAGATGATGAAACCTTTGTCCCAAGCCTTTTTGACAGTGCTCACATAGATGACGAAGGTGACTCCAATGGAGGCGCCGAGAGTGATACTGAGGAGAAGCCAGTTGAAGAAACTGGCTATGAACTTCCGCTCCTTTGGGTTCTTATAGTCGAACTGGTCGGCTCCGAGAGCCGGCACGCAGCCTCTGATTCCACCACCTCCCAGAGCCAGCAAGTATATGGAAGCGTAGAACAGCGCCGCCTTCGACCGATGCACGCACGTTGATTCGCCACATGGGCCTGCAGGTTGAAGCTCCTTGTTATGTGATTGAATCACCAGCAACATGTATCCCTGCAACTCAAATTTCTCATCTAATTAATAATTAATCTCAGACCAAAGGGAAGGGCAGGGTTAGAAGTGTAGAGTTTTGATGTTACGGACAAGTAACTGGATAACACCGAAGAGGAGGCAAGTGTTGAGGCGAGTGAGGTAAGTGTCGGAGATGAATCCGCCAGCGATGGTGAGCAAGAAGGCGGTGCCAAGGAAGTTGGTGGTGGTGGTTGCCGCCCCGCCAAGGTCAAAGAACATTACCATCATGAAATATAGTACCATGCTCGCCATGTTTGCCACGAATCCTATGTTGTCCAGGAACATCATTGCTGCATATCCAAGTGCCATTCGTACATTAATTAATTATTGCTCGCTTCTGTTATTCCTTTTTCTCCGAACCAAACTAGATAATCAAACGCTGTCTATTTTACTCACCGAACAAGAAGTACGTAGCTCTAAACCCTCCCTGCTTCACGTTCCTCATAGCATGATACTCCACATCCTTCATCTTATCTCCAACCTCTTCTTCCACACCCTATAATTTTTTTTAAGGTTATTAAGCCGATGACGATATTAATGTGTCTGTGCGTGCGTGCGTGCGTGCGTGCGTGCGTGTGTAGGCTTATATATATAAAAGGAAAATGCAATACGATACATAGTTTGTAGCAGTAAAGATTTCAGGAGAGTTGAGTGACTAAAAAGGGATCGAATATATAAACACCAGTTCCACCTATTTCAATAAATCACATCATCTGAGAAAAAAAATCTGCGCTGTGGATTCATGCATCAAGAAACTATTTGGAAGAGGGTCATAAACAAAGCTCTCTTCTTTAATTTTACACCTAAAAAGATGTCTGAACAACTGAAAAAGGACGAAAAACAAGCAAGTTACTGCATCAATCCCTATCATATATATGGATATGCATATATATAATGCATGAACCATAACAACGAATCAAATCAAATGCAGGAAAATCCTTTCGTGGCCATCAAAGGTATGCCAAACATTACAATAACTATTACCATGGCGGACAAGCCCAGAAGAGGAAACTCCTGACGAGAACTGATCAGACGAAAAGACGAAGGAGAATATGTATATAAGGAGAATCAGAGATTATTACCTATGCACACGTTGTGTTTCGTCTATATAATATATATATATATGGTGTGTGTGTGTGTGAGGGAACAGATGGAGATAGAGAGAAAGACAAGAGAGTATTGTGAATGACGAGGAGGATAGCAACCAGGCGCTCCCAATGATGACAAATGATCGGCGTTCACTGACTTCCCAAGACACAGCCTTGCACGAGTTACAGTTTTGACAAAACTGACTTATCACTATGCAGGAATCTTATTCTCGTCAATGTATTACATACTATCATCCATTGCTTCTCATCAGTTTCAATTGCCAAAACTGCTGAACGAAATATATAATTCGCTTTTTTAATAATAAATGAGTTATACTAATGATCGTTAACTTATGAACAGTAGTATGACTGAATAGGCTTTTTGCGCTGATTTCTTACTTGTTTAATTTTCTTGTTTAATAAGTTGTACTATATATTCACATTATAAATGACAATTATTTTTTCGTAGTTTGGCATAGTGTGGTTTCAACTTCATTACTAAGGTTTTTGTGTTGAGATTATCGCCATCCTTTGCGCAGCTCTATTGTTGATTCCCAAAAATGCAGACCAAAATCCAAAGCTACTTCAATGTGTTTTGTTTTTTCATTTTTGGTTCTTTAGCCTGCAGGTCAAAATCACAGGTCACTTCAGTTCGTTCATTTCACAGTTATTTCCAGTTTTGATATCATTTCTAATTTTAACGCATCTTCCGATCTGCCTACCCCCACTCCTCAAAAACCTGAATTTCCTCAAATAAAATTCATTCAAGTTTTACGAAGGAGACAATTGAGAGAAGTACACACACAGACAAACGTGTCCTTATACTTATCGATCAGCAACGGCTTTGCTTCTGGGTGTGATTTAATCAAGTCATGATGTGGTATACAAAGGGACTCTTGCTCTAGAGCTGAACTCGATCTCACGTCAAAAGTAGTATAGGCTCTGCGCTAAAGCAGAAATCCCAGACGCCATGATTATTGAAAAAGGAACACATATCTTTGATAAACGGGGCATAAGTCTCTAGAGCTGAATTTCATGATTTGTCTTCTTTTTGCTTCTTAGTATTAGAGAAATGGATATTATAACGTATAAATGGATATATAATGTAACGTTATATAAAGATATTTTAGAAAGATAATGTTATATTACTCCTCCGGTCCTTAATATAGGATCCAATTCTTGAGTTGGTTTTGGTCCTAAATATAAGACCCATTTCTCATATTTATCATTTTTCTCTAAATTACCCTTATGGATACTCCCTCAACCATAATCAAGTAGAAGAGGGAGAGAGGGTATTAAGAAAGATGATTATGGTATTTTAGGAAAAATGTGTCACTTTTCTTATAATTAACTAACTTACCTAACTTCCTTAATATAATCAAATTAGTTAAATGGGTCTTATATTAAGGACCGGAGGAGTATTTGTTAGAATTAAGTAATTTATTTAGTTTTTTTAATTTATGTAAATTAAATAGTTTTTACATCAAGATTGGAGAAATACAACACTGGACCATAGTTGTCAATTATAATATCATAAACTATATTCACAAAACCCTTCCTTCTACCATCTATACCCGCCAATAGTTGTCTATTAATGAAAAATGAAAATACATGCATGACGAGAAGCAGCAGCAAAAGTTCCTAAACGAGACGTCGTCTAAGCCTAATTTGTTTGTGTTCGTACGACATGCGTTTTGTCAGAAACAAACGATGTCGTACTCTCGTTGGTGCCCGCCTCCCGGAAGCGCGACTGGGAAAGAATTTTAGGGTGTATTTAGATAAGCGGTGGAAGAAATTACTTTTTTCTAATCTGACTTTTGCATAAGTCAAATTAAATAAAAGTCAGATAGATGATGTGATTTATGTTTGTATTAACTTTTACAGAACAGTCAGTTTGAGAAACTGAAACTTGTTTGGATAAATAATAAAAAAGTAAGTTTAGATACAAAATAACTGAAAATGATATAAATTTTATTAAGTAATATTATAATAGTAAGTTCTAAGCAATAAAATAAAAACAAAAAGATATCTTTTTTTTAAAAAAATATAAACATTAAGTAAATAAATGAAAAAATAGCATGGTGCTTTTTTCTTCTTCCAATTTTACGTTAGTATTTACTTTTGCAATAATTTATGTTCAGTATTTACTAAAAAAATATTTCCTCACCCCGAACTGCTCCTCACTCCAAAAGCAAAAAAAAAAAAAAGCTTCTACCCAATAACTCATTAGACCCTGTAAGCCCATCACAAAAAAAAGTCAATCCAAACAACTTCAAAATCTCAAAAGTAGCTTTTACTGGTAGAGACGTACGAAACGCGATGCCAAACACACCTTTAGTTAGAAACGCCGGGGAAACGTCTCGAATTTTCTCCGACGTACATGTGCGTTTCTTCGTCGCAAAGGCAAATCGAGTGTGTCAATTAGAGTTGTTCGTTTCTCTTGGGGATTAGACCAATTTCCACTATCTGGCCAAAAGAAATAATCAATTTCTACTTCCTGCTAATACAGCAATTGACTGGAAGGAAGATAGAGAGATTGAATCGAAGGATGGAAGTGAGAATTGGAAGACGGGTATCGAGGGGTATGCTGCCTCTGATGGCGCTTCATACATTTAGCGAGTATTATAGGTCAGATAGGAAACCTCCTATTACTGCTGGTCTTATTGCTGCAAATACTCTCATTTATCTGAGACCTAGCTTCTTGGAATCAATCCTTCCTTCTATAGATGAAGTCTGGTTCAATCCCTACCTCATCCTCAAGGTGGGTCTTTAATGATGGTTCTTTATCTTCCTTTCTCAATTCCTTTTTTATTTACCTGCCGCAGACGAATAATTTTCCCTCACGTTAGATTGTTTGGACGTGATCACAATTTTCTATGGCTATGCTTTGTTTGTTTAATTTCAAACCATCATTCCATGTATTGAACTATCTCATGTGCAATTGGGTACGGGGAAGTCAGTAGTGCGCTTCTTAAGAGTTTACTTCTTTGAAGCATGGAGAGATTGTTGCAAAATTTGAAGAGTACAATACTTCTTGAAACGTGGCGTGTTGTCCTGTGCAAAAATTTGGCACTTGTGGGATATAGAAATAACTGAAATCTGAATTGCATATCCTTCATAGGTTAACATTGTAGTGGCTGAAGTCTGGATGGGATAACACTGTAGTGGTTATCTCTAATGTGCAAGAATGTTCATGGTTTCTATCAGCCCAGGAATGAGAGCACCAATTACTTAAATATTTGGAGCGGATATGACGGGGTTTTCTTCTTCCAGCGTTATTCAATGAATGATGATTTAACGTGTGTACTTGTTTTTCAAAGACCCTGATAGTACTAGGGCCAGTTATTCCCTTTAATTTAAAGGAAGTAGATGCTGTGTACTGGCACTAATTAGTAGTTATCTGTTGATTCAGCTTATCAGATTTCGCTACTGCGATATTGGAATACATGCCATGCGGATCACTTTTTGTGTCAATTTATATAATTTAAGTCTGTTAATTTCTTGCCATCAATAAAGTCAGTTTTTAATTTTAATGCGTCTTGTTATCAGGGACATGGTTAATTTAGAAGTTTGAGATGTCATTTCTCCTTTTCATTATTTATCCACATTCTATAATAATTATTGATTATTGATGGAGTGATTTTATTATGAAATCATGTTTTAAACTCTATTGAATCTATTCATTGATCCATAACAAAAGTTTTGAGTTTCATGTTATGATGTGTTTAATGCTGAATATTTAGTCTGTTTTGAAATTGGTCAGATCCTCAGATGTTAATCCTATTCTCTGTTCTTGCAGCGCAAGGACCTGAAACGGTTCTTCTTGTCAGCATTCTATCATATCAGTGAACCTCACCTGGTCTACAACATGCTGTCACTTCTGTGGAAGGGAATGCAGTTAGAAACTGCAATGGGGAGTGCTGAATTTGCTTCCATGGTGGCTGCCTTGCTTGCTTTATCCCAGGGCGTCACTCTAATGCTATCCAGATCACTCCTCCTATTGTTTGACTATGAGAGAGCTTATTACAATGAATATGCCGTTGGGTTCTCTGGTGTCCTGTTTGCCATGAAAGTTGTGCTTAATTCCCAAGCACATGATGAATATACTTACGTACATGGAGTGATAGTACCATCCCGTTATGCCGCCTGGGCCGAATTGTTTCTTATTCAAATGTTTGTACCTGGTGTCTCATTTCTTGGTCATCTTGGTGGCATACTTGCTGGTCTGCTTTATCTGCGGTTAAGGGGTGGCTACTCAGGCTCAGACCCCCTAACTCCGCTCATCGGGGGTCTTATCGGGGTATTGAACTGGCCTTTCAAGTTTTTAAAAAAATTATTTCGGTTTCGCCGGGGGAGGATCTCCGGCAGGGGAACTGTCGGTAGGGATCAGAGAAGAAGAACTGCTCAGTCTGGTGCATGGAGATGCCAGATATGCACATATGATAATCCTGGTTTGCTAAGTTTATGTGAGATGTGTGGTGCCAGACGAAGTGAGAATAGTTCTACACCTCACGTATGGCACCGTGAATCTCGTGGTCTTTCTGCAGAGGAAGTGCGTCGTTTAAGGGTTGAAAGATTTGGCAGGAGATAATGAAATTTAGTTCCCACCTCTAGCAAATGACACAATGGGATAGAAATTGTTTGAATAATATACGTGGATGATCAATCTGGCATAAGAACATGGATTTCAGCTATTCTATAAATAGTTGAGAGGCTATACCGTGAATTGTGTTTCGGCGACGCCAGATTGTCTGTATGTAAATGACATTGACATGATATCCAAACAAGATTCGCCTCATTTTCATAGATATACATGCCTCGTTTCATCATTTACATTTTCATTTATCTATTAAGGTTTTAAGAGCAGTAACAGAACAAGCTGGTGTTTCTTCTTGATAATGTGAGAGAGAGGCTGCAATCTTTTTGCAATAGTGTTCTCTCTTTTTTGTAGAGAGAGAGAGAGAGAGAGAGAAGTCAGGTCTTGTTTGGTTGTATTATCCATTTTTTATGTTTCTGAATCAATTGGGTAGAGTAGTTTATTAAAAAATTACAAAATATATTTGAATTATTATTTTGAAAAATATATTTGAGGTGAATATAGGGTAAAAAAATAATTATTTTGTTAACGTAATTATCATTGATGAAAATACGACTAACTTTAAAATTATATATTTTGTTTTTCCAGAATAAGTTTTACTTTCTCCATCTCTTTTTATAAGCAACATTGAAACCCATCCCGTGGATCAAAATGTTAGTTAAAATTAGTTAAAGACAATATATGTGTAAAAATTAAAAGTTCTTCTTCTAAAATGTCTTTATTTATGGGGAGGGGAGAGAGTATAAGAGAGAAAATAAGAAAATTATTATAATAAAAAGAATTATGAAAGAGAGAGAACGTGTGATGAAGAGATTATGGTTTAGAAAATGAGATAATAAATATATTGAGTATTAAAATAAATAATTAATAAGGACAAAATAGGGAATTCATTACAAAAATTTTAAACAACTTTCAAATCTTGCTTACATTTAAGAACGAGAGGGAGATTATAGTTGATGCTTATAACAAGGGATGGATGGAGTATTTTTATTTTTCAGAATCTATAACCAAAGGATTCTTTGTTTTTGTAAGGGTAATAACACAACACAATGCCTTGCATATGACAATGCTTAACTTTCCAGTTGATTACCTCCCCTAAAACATTAATCATTAATCAATATATAATAAAATTTGTAGTGACTTTCATTATTCACAGATTATAAAAAAAAAGTGTGCTCCATCCTTCATACTTTGCTTTATTTTTCAAATTTTACGCAATGTAAAAAAACATGTCCAGTTTAATAATGAAGACCGTTAATTTTCAAGAAAAATATAATCTTTTACCCAAAAAAATTAAATGGGTTGTGAAAAGAGGAGGCCCAACGTGATAAAGCAGCGGGACGGGGAAGGGGAGGAGGATAAGGTGAAGCCACTGGTTCTCTGTGTCGTTGAATTTCAATTTTCAACACAGAAATCGGACAATGTCTACTTCTTCACTTTCCTTCCTTCATTGTGCATTAGCTTCTTCCCACCAATCATGGATGGGCCCCAAGTTAATGGCATCTCCCGCTTCCATTTCGAGGCCATTCTCGAACCCCTGTTCTTCGTCGTCTCTTGTGGTGGAAGCCAAGACCAGGACCAGAGGAGAGGATAGGACTGCCCGCCATATTCGAGTCAGAAAGAAGGTGATGTTCAAGCTTTCTTCCCTTTTTTACTTTGGATTTCTGAAAGAAGCTAATAAATTACACAAACAGATTTGCAATATGAGCATCTAGTTTCTATCCAGCCGTTCCCCATATATATATATATATATATCCATATATATATATAATTTCCTTGAGAAAAAAGGCAGGAAGAATGAGGATGAGGAAAGAAAGACTGTAAAGCAAGCAATCGTGCAGGCTCCTTCAAATTCTTGGGTCACAAAAGGTGTAAATTACAGAATTTGGTTTAACGAAATACTGATACTGCAGAGTTAAACAAAAATGCAATAAATAATTTATGTATTAAAAAAACTTCTGGAAGCCCTTGTGAAGGTTACTCTTGTTTACATTGAACCTTTTTGTTGTTTTGGTCATCGTCATTTCTTTAGCTTTTGGTATATGGGACTAACTTGGCAACTGGCATTTTCCCGTGCTAGTAAATCAGGCTATATTAAATGAATGTTGCTGTCATTAAGAATGCAATGCGTATCTATTATGGAATTCATTTTCATGCTTCTCAGGTCGAAGGAACACCCGAAAGACCAAGATTGTCTGTCTTCCGGTCCAACAAGCATCTCTACGTCCAGGTGATTGATGACACTAAGATGCACACACTTGCATCAGCTTCAACGATGCAGAAGCCAGTTTCTGAAGAGTTTAATTACACCTCTGGTCCCACAATTGTAAGTTTTTGAAGGCTTTTATATGCTATGAGTACTTGTTAATTTTTGTCCATTGTTTTGTATGGTGCTGATTCAAATAACTAGTGTCTTGCTAACATAAAGTTAACACATATAGAGGGACAGAAGTTTAGGAATCAGTCACAGATTCTTGATATCAAGTTGGAACCATATCCGCTTTATATTATCCTCTGTCTTCAGCATGACCAGGAGAAAGCTTCTGTTCACAAACCCCCCCCGGGGGGGAAGTGATGTAGCAAATCTGCATTACTATTGCAAATTGTTGTTCCACCCATTTATTTGTATTCTCTCTCTCTTTCTCTCTAAGCCAAAAGCTTCTTCTTGGATATGTTTTGTACATTCTTACACATTAACAATAAAATTGTGAAGAAGGAAAAACTTCTTGGGCTTATAGAATCTGCATATTCGTGCGTTCTCTCTGTAACTATTGTAAGTCTAGTTCTTTTGTGCTTCAAGGCAAGGTTTGACAGCAAAGCTCTCCGCCATTACTTACTAACTTTTTTGGCAATCCAAGGTGAGGTGATGTGGAGTCACTACGCATGAAGTGGATGCCCTTTCTCAATGTCATTACTTTAACAATTTTTGTTTGTTCATTTTAATACACAAAATTCAGTAGAGTTATTCTGGTATAGAAGGAAGAAATATTATTTGTTCAAGATCATCTCTATTTGATGTGAAGATATATATGCATTAAGTTTGCAACTGATCTTCATGTTTCCATGTTTTTCCGTTTCCCTTTAATTCCATGTAAATGTTTCAGTAGCAACCAGGAGAGAAGATAATTCATATAGAAGGTGAAGCAAACTCTTCAATCCTTATATTCCACAATGTACCTTAGAAAATAACAAGTAAATAGTCACCTGATAATATCTATTATTAGCTGGCTTTTCTGTTGTTACTTGAGAATCTTCTCAATGAGCAGCTTCCATATTTTTGTATGCCACAATTATTTGTTTTTTGGCTTGTGATCCCCCCCCCCCCCCCAAAAAGAAAAAACAAAACAAAAGAAAGAAAAGAAAAGAAAAGAAATCTTCCCAAAAGAAAAAACAAAACAAAAGAAAGAAAAGAAAAGAAAAGAAATCTTCCTTACCCGCTGTATCTGCTTTCTTTCCTTATTATTCTCAATCACTAAACGCTGGTCCTGAATCTTTTAGGCTTATGGTTTCAGGAAGTAGCCAAGAGGGTTGGTGAACTCATTGCAAAGTCCTGTCTGGAGAAGGGAATCACAAAGGTGGCTTTTGACCGAGGTGGTTACCCGTACCATGGCCGTGTCCAAGCAATTGCTGATGCAGCCCGGGAACATGGCCTGGAGTTCTAAATTAGTAGCTCCCTACCTTGTTTCATGTTTAAGTTTGTAAACTGAGTTCATCAATTTTTTTTGTAACTCATGCTCTCTTTTCTGGTACTAGCTTCAATGATTCCATTGCTTTTATTCATCTAGTCAATACCTTTATCAGTTGAAGAATTTGTCTTTACTGGTAGCGTATCATGAGAATGCGTGCTAAAGTTATATCAAACTCTACAGTTGAAGACAATTAAAGGAACTGTGTCCTTTAGAAATACACTGAAGGGAAAATAAGGACAGGGGTGATATGCAGCGTTTTTGTTCCTTTCTTTTTCCCTTTTCAGTCTGCAGGGCCATTCCAGAGGAAGCAAACATTGCAAATTACAAATTTATGAGAAGGATGTGAAGCAATAGCAGGAAGAGACTTGTAAGCATCCTGCCATTAAATGATCTTAAAGTAGTTAGGTAATCATTAAGGTTGATACAAAACACTGAATCTACAAAATCTTGAGATCAATTTGTAGGCCAGCTGTATATGAATTCCCAGTACCTCGTTTGTCCATTTAAACCATAAATGCCTTCAGCTGATATAAGCCATGCACATCCGGTGTGACACCTGACAATGTCTGCCAAAGTTATAAGCATCAAAATGGTACTGCTGAACATTTTCCCACTCCAAATCACAGAAAAACAGTGTGGTACCAGTCACATTGTCAGAGAAGTCCCAGCCAAATTCATCTCCATCTTCTATGTTATGTACACCCAGATCATCATCTTTGGATTGGCAATGCAGGGTCATGTTCTTTCCAGATCCTAAGCTGTTCTTGATGCGTACATGCTTACTACCTGCAGTAACTGGTATGAACAAGCTTATTATCATCATCATCAGTATTGCCGGATGACTAATCTTCTCTGAACCTTCCATAATATCTGCTTCTATCTAGATCACCGTTTTTGCTCTGTTAATTCACAAGATGATAGAGGCTGTTACTTGATCCCCAGTTGCTGCGCCATTCTATGTGATTATAGAGTTTTCTGTTTGAAGGTTTTACAAGGTTGTGATATTGCCCGTCATGATAAAATTGAGGCATTAAAATGGAGATTTCTATGACATGAAATTGTTGTGGTTTCCGAAGGATATTCTGCTACCTCACCATTTTGTTGGTTTGCACACTTTTGTTCGACAGAACATCTCGTAATTATCAGCGTAGCAGAAACGGTAAAACAAAACGTAATAGGTTCGCTTGTTTTTCTCTTTTATTGGTCTCTTTTTGTGTCTAAATATATTGCTAGTTTACCATGCTTTGCATCAGAAATAAATGTTTGGCTAATCAAGATAATTGAGAAGAATTAGCTGAAATGACGACCAACAAAGATATTAATCGGAATGTCGCGATCAGAGATAACAGAAGGGACGGTAGGTTTTCGAATTAAGCAACTTTTGAGGGCAGTTGAGAGACATGATCTGCGCGATGAGGGTGACGTATACGAGGAAACACGAGCAGGATAATGTCAATTCCCAATAAGCTCTGATTATTTAAATTACAATTTTTATTTGAGGATTATCAGTCATTTATTTCTTCATTTACAGCTTTTTTGGCTTTTAATTTTGTTTCTTTTGTCAGAGAGATCCTAATGAAATTTGAGCAAATTATATTTAGTTTAGGGAAAATGGCAAAAAAAAGTTGTCGAAATAGAAAAATTGTAAATTAGGATCTATGACAATATTAATATGGGTTTTGACAATAATTTTTATGAACGGATCCTTGTGTGTACTTTTTTTTTGCAATTTTCCTTTTTTTTTTTTTGCTACAAAAAGTTTAGGTGAGTTGGGTCCCGGGAGCTCACCAAGGCCAGGGCATGCCTCCAGGCTCAAAGAGCGCTTACAGAAGTACTACAGATCGCCCACCAACAAGATTTTCACATCGGCAGCGGGATTCGAACTCACGACCTTGTGGGTTATGAGACGATTCCTTACCAACTGGATCAACTTTTGTTGGTTCCTTTTAGTTAGTTTACTTGTGAATGTTTTTGTTGTCAAAATCACGACCGAGGCTTTTTCATAAAGTCTCTCAAAAATTGGATTGTGCTTGGGCTTTGGAGGTTAATTATGCATTAAACAGACCTGTAAGTCCAAAATGGTACGAATTGGCCCAAATAAGGAGTTGGGTCGGGTTGTGAATGGGAGCGGGTAATTCTGGAACCGCGGAAATCACCAGAAGAATAAAGAACGAAGACGACGAAACGTTGAGCCGTAAACAAACAAATACAGCTTACAAAAACTCCGATTCGATGGTTCAGGGTGCGTTAGGTGTCTGTCGCGGCAGTACCATATGCTACTGGTCTCTCGGCGGCGGCTGCGCCGGAGCTCGGAGACTTCAGCTCCAAGTGTCACCTCTGAACTGCATTCCATATGCTGCTGGCAGCTTTGCAGCAGCAGCTGCTCCCTCTGATCGCTTCTCTCTGCTATCTCTCTCTGTGGGTTCGGTTTACTTGGGGAACAGGTGGAATCAGAGGCATTTGTGCTCTGCTGTTGCCTCTTCCGACTCTAAGGCCTCGATTCTCTCTAATTTGGAAGCCAATCAACCAGATTTGGACTTAGATACAACTGGTGGTGCTGGAGACGGGTTTGGCGACAGGAATGACGGTGGTGGTGGTGGAGGAGGAGATGGTGGCGACGGTAATGGAGGCAGCGCTGATGATGACAAAGGTGAGGAGGGTTCAAGCGGAGACGAAAAGAAGGCGGGGTTATCAATGTCTCAGAAAGTTACTCTAGGATATGCGGCGCTAGTTGGAGGTAATCGCCTTATTTTTGGCGGCTTCCTGTACCCTCTGCGTTGCAAGACTGCGATTTTTTCATTTATTGCTTTTGATAACAAGACTGGCCTAAACGTTGAGATACTCCTTTGGAAGGAAGAATGATGCATGAGTTTTATCCCCCTGTTTTCCTTCCAGTATTGTTTCTCAGCTAATGATGCTTGGTGGCATCCAGTTTACCTTAGAAAGGTTGTAATGGGCTCTGGAGATTCGGTCAAAGGTGTTTAAATAATGCTTCATTTGGATCTGCTCCCTAGTCACTTATACGCTAGTATTTACACTTGCTGGGTTTAAGGATATGCTTAAAACCCGCGAAGTTAATTTGATAAAAAAGTTGTAGTTTGGTATAGGGGCAAATCAATTCGAATCTAGATTGCTTTCCATCAAAGTTTTAGTTTGATTGTATCCATGCGTACAGATGCATATATTAAACATGACAGGACATAATACTATATGACGTCTTAAGATACTAGAGGACACTTAAAAATTTGTTGCCTCCTTGTGCCTGTGTTGGTGTTCATGCTTCCTAATTCTCTGCATTTAAGAAGTCGATTTTCTAATATACTGATGTTGGTACTTCTGTACCATTCTACCAATACCACTTAAGTTCTGACAGCAATGTTTTCCCCAGAACAAAAATGTTGAGGTGAATTGGGTTGTAACTTATTAGGGCCATGGCAAGCTTCAGTATTCAAAAGGTGCTTATATTGGTTTTGGAAACCTATTAGAGCCATGGCAAGCCTCACTGTTCAAAGAGTGATTATAAAGTAGTGTACAAATTATCCACCAATAAGGTCATCATGTTGGCAATAAGATTTTGACCCATATTTTTATGGGGAATGGACCAAGTCCTCACACACTGGACCAACATTTATTGGCCTAGACAAAGTAATTTTGACAGTAGATACATTTAAAATTTCATGTGATACCTCTGAATAACTGGAAGTGCATTGCATGTCGATTAGTTCATCAATATCAGATCTTTGAATAATTTGCAGCGTTTGTCGCATCCCAGACAATTATTTTATTGTGTTAAAGTCTCTGTAGTTCTTAACTAATCCATATTTTGGTCACCAGCAATGTCTGTCTGTTGAACTAGACCATGAGTATGCATTTTCTTATTCTTTTCCCAGTTTTGTATGGATTCTAATCTTGTTTATGTGGGGATTTTGGCAGCTGGTGGTTTAATTGGCTTTTTGAAGAGCGGCAGCCTGAAATCACTGTTGGCAGGCGGATTATCTGCTATGCTGCTGTATTATGTTTTTACAGAGCTGCCTGTAAGACCAGTTTTTGCATCATCTCTTGGGCTTGGTAAGTGATTAGTTTCTCAATACATATTCCACTGCAGTTTCAATTTTCTTAACCATGATCAAATGTGATTGGCAATAGTGCACTTTGTTGAGTTAGTAATTTCCCTAGTTGGGTGGGATACATTTGTGACATTGATACGCTTTAATTTTGACCTCTGGCATGATTAGAGTTTAAGGATTTTTACCCTGAAACCGTTGTCATACATGGATTTATTTTCTGCCAGGCATCTCAGCTGCGCTTCTGGTGGTGATGGGTTCTCGTTTCAAGAGATCGGGGAAGATTTTTCCTGCAGGTGTTGTATCACTTGTGTCTTTTGTAATGACCGGGGGTTACCTTCATGGAATTCTACGCAGTGTGCATTAGAATGTAAATAATGGAGATGAGGCTGTAGGTAAACTTCGTTGAAAACTCATCCCCTCTGGTAATAAAATGTGTTTTGAAATATAGTCTTTGTTGTGAAACAAGGATGTCATTTTGAACTTATTTTGGACCTCTGTTTCCTACTTCTTATCCCTCCGCTATTGGAAGAAAGTAACATATGCTTAGTTTGGGGGTTGTATTTGAACACGGTGTCCATATGTGCATATAACAATTACAGTTTTCTGCAGGATATTTAGCCATTGATCTCATTTTAAAAGCATCTGTAGTATTACTAAGAAAAGCAGGTTGGGTAAGGACTGGAGGAGCACTAAATATGAAATGTTTTTCAAGCAAGTGCCGACATTGATGGCATGGCTGCAATTGAAAAGAATATGAGGAGCCGACTGTTGCGCCCTTGAAAACCAAGGTTAAAAACTTCAACAGAAACCAAAAATTTTTTTTTTTAAAAAAAAAAACTTGGCTGAAAAGAGATAATAGACCCTCTAGACGGTTGTTTACTTGTACACTTCCTCATTAGCTTTGGAAGAGAGACATGCAACTTCTGATGTTCAACGTTAATAAGAGAGAGAAATTGACAATGTGTTGAACTTGCATCTTTAATTTTTTTTTTCCCCAGAGAAGAATACCTTCTTGTTTGTACTAACAACGCGAAAATTGAGGTTGATTGAAATATGCATGAGGGGGGCTCTTGAATGATCCATTTATTTAACCTGTCATTTTTCTAGAATATTTTATCACGCACTTGTAGGTGAACAGGGTCATGTATATAGATCAAAAAATTAAACGGGATTTGATTTTATTTCTGTTGAGAAAAATATATGGGTTTAAAATTTAAGGATAAGGAATTGCCGCAACGCCATTGTACTCTATCCATTAACGTCTCTTTTGTGGACTTTTCACATTCTTTGCTGAACAGTCCAGTCCATAACATAAAATCTACGCACGCACTATCGCACGAATTTAATCAAAATTTTATTTTATTAAGGGTGAACGAGTTTTCCACACCATCCATTGAAGCATCCTTGTTCTTTATTACTTGATCGGGCCAACATTAAATTAAAATAAAATAGTAAAGTGATGGGAAAATTAAGAGCGAGGGAAAGATTGAAGATGATGTTGATTGTCCTCAAAGATTCTTGAAGCGCCGGTTTGGTAAACCAACCCATTTTGATAATCATTCCCCTTGTACCTAATGAGTTGTTGACCATGCTCAACTAATTTTTCTAATCACCATTGCCTCTAAAATAATCTTTTAGTCATTGAAGAAAGTTGGTGTTATCATTTGCAGATTGCTTATGATTCCTTTGGAGTGGTTGGGAACATGGGGTTCTACAAATTAGGAGGAGCAAGAATTTGTCCATTCTAAACCTTAAAAATTCCAGTGAAATATGCTTCCATTATTATGAAGGAAAATTCATTTACAAGATGCCATGGATTTAATTAGTCGGTCATCCACGTCTCAACTAAGACTCACAAGGGGGGAAGACACCGTCCTCCTTCAGAACATGCCAAGAGTCAGATTCTTGGAAAATGGGCAAAATAAATTATAGGAATAAATTACAGTAATGATTAATGAAGTGAGCTGTGATCTGCCACAACAAAATCATATAATACTTCTTTCGTTTTTAATTACAAGAACTAGTTGATTAATTTAAAAAGATTAAGAAAAAAAGTTAAATTAATTATTTGTAATAAATAGATGTTGTCTTTAAAAAAATATCCTTGCTAATCAAATGTATTGATTAAAACTACCATTGTTAGAAGAATTAACTTGGAAAAAAAAGTATAAATATAATAGATAAAGTGAATTGGAGTGTTATATTTAAAACCAAAATAAAAATCAAACAAGATTTTATATTAAGAACCGGAAATAGTATTAATTTAGATAATTCTCAAAAAATGAGCATATTTAAATTCTTTACATCCAAAATACTCCCATTCTCATTTAAAACTTTTAATAAGCCAATCCACTTTTGTCCCGAGAAACAAGAGAGATAAATATTTGGAAAGAAGAAATACTGCAGAGGAATCATAAAAACAAACGCCACAATATGAACATGACATATAATTAATTGTCCAGAAACACAACATTGTCCAAGAATAACAATTAAGATGGATGTTCTGAACATAGAGAACAGACACCATTGTAGACTTTCAAGTCACATTCACCGACCCTTTTCAGGTTCAGCAGTTAGGTTACATGTATACTGAAGACTGAACAAAAAACCATATCACAAATTCAGAGTCATTAAAGTCATTAAACTTTTACATGCAAACATATTGAGGTTCTTCTACACACCAGAATAATTTTAGCCATTAAGTAGAAACAACTCTCGAAACTTAAGATGCAGTGATACTAGGTTGAAGCTCCTCCTCTGAGTGTTTGAAGGAGGCCAGATCAGGTGCATTATCAGCACTGCAGCTGTTCTCTGTGTTTTCAGACGCTTTGGTTCTTGCTGGAGACGCATATGGGGCTCTGCTCCCCAACCTGTAGGAAAAATAAAGAAGCCCATTAGGGAACCAGTAAATGACCAATTAATTGGCCAAAAGTGTACTCTTGGTTTTGTCCCTTAACTTTGAATGAAGTTTCTACTTTGTCTCTTAAATTTTTCTGGATTTCAATTTTGTCTTTAATCTTTTCAAGTATTGTCAGTGTTTTCCCTTAGACCCAACTAAGAGAATCACACGAAGGAACAATGCGATGCATCATTCTGTGTACAGGATATTCCTTGCAGACTCTCACAGAATCACATCTAGGAGAACATTGAAATTGACAATTCTTCAGAAAAACAAATGATGAGACTGGAATTGAACAAAAATTAAGGGACAAAACAAAGTCAGAGATATATAACCCACACAATAATCTAGCCAGAGAGACTTTTGCATGCAACACATCCCCACAAGCACTACAGATATGCAACAAGCACATGATAGATGAACTCACAAGAACAAACCAACCAAACATGGCAGATATAGTACCTATCTCGTCGCTTCTCAAGAAAGCGCTGCAGTGACTGTCTGCGTGCAATTGGAAATTCTGAACAGAGATATCATCCAAAAGGAACAAAGAGATTGGAATTATTAGTAAATTTGAATACCAGACAACAAATACGGGGGCTAAGTTGATAAGAACACATCACACAACAAAAGATGACAAGCTCATTCAAGAAGTCATCATCTAAATGTAGTTCAACAAGGGGAAGAGTGCCACCTTGCAACCCACAAATGGAACTCTTCTGCGCAGGAAAACATAGAGGTTTTGGTGAAGCCACATTATTAGGAGTTCCCTGTGGAGAAGATGGCCTTGAGGGAATGGGTGAAGTAAAGGAGGATTGCATTCCACTCTTCATGTCAGCAGACTTAGCAGCAGAAGCAGCAATACGTATTATCTCATGTACCTGTTCATGAAACAGGGGTAACAAAAATATCAAATGAAGAACTGGAATGAGGTACAGCAGTAGCAAAGTTCCTTTATGACATCTAAGTTTCAGAAAGGGGCTACCTTTTCTGCAGGAATTCCATCATAGACACAAACATTCCCATTAAAGAAGATGGTGAGCTGAGTTGCATTCGGTCCAGATGCTGGCATTGACCTAAAATATCAACAGAAAAAGTAGTAAACATGAAACAAGTGATGACACATGCATGCAACAAAGTAAGCTAGACATTAATTGGAATTAGAATTCTTTCAGAATCAGTGATGCACAAGACTAGCAGTTTTCCTAGATTTCAAGAGTCATTACCTTGATATGTATTTAGAAGAGTCTCAAGATTTGGGTGTGAAGTGAGATAAGAAGTTTCCACAATTTCATACAAGTCCGGATAACAATTTGTCAAAGGGTCCAAAAAATGGATTGCAAATTGATATCACGTGATTACGAAATATTGATTCTTTAATGCATTGTCCTTCAAAGGAATATCAAAGCAGTGGCATCCTTTTATATCACTTATGCCCTTTATTCTGGCATACACATTTATCTAAGCATTAAAAGCATTTCCTCACAAAAAAATGGATATGCAAGATGCATCTCATTGACCATGGCAACCGTCGTCATATCTGTGACTTTAAAAAGGTATGATTTCATCCCTGAGGCCGATGTGTTAAGTTTATATTTATCTTGTAACAAAACTTGAATTCTAACTAAGCTGCTGAACAGAATACATAATAAAAACTCTTTATGTGCAGGTAGCGCTCATATGAGCTATTTATATTGGCAATCCTCCATGACATCCACGCTAATTGAAGTGCTATTAGTTCAAGCATTTTGTTCCATTGGTGAAAGGCAATCCAAGGAATCATGAGCAGCGTTGTTTTAAAAGGATTTAAGTTGCTCTTTGTCCTTTCAATTAATGTACTGCATATCTGCGTAAGGTAAAAACTTAGCTTTGTTAAGTTGGTATTTGGTAAATTAAATGAGTTTTAAGTCACGGCTTCATGATTCAGGTACAGTCTGTAAAATAATTCCCTGTTAAGAGAAAATCCTTTTCATGAACAGCTTTTTCCTTGATCTAGGATCGGGAACACACGAAATGCATTTAAAACCTTGATCTGAAGCAAACTTGAGGCACAGGCTACAAAAATGAGCACTTCGTTTACCATAACCCCAAATTATCTCTTTCTTTCTATTCTTATTGCTTCTAATGTTGTATTTTTATCCCCTCTCAGCACACCTGAAGCCATAAATTAAATTATTTTCCAGACATAAATATTCGTCCGTGATTTCTGTGTCCTAAAAACAGTTAAAGTACCCAAAGGCACACCGTTTAGCTTAACACAGCACTGGCATTAGGAGGCCCTTAAAGGCGCTAACTAAGAAACCATGGCTTATCTCGCATACGCGGCTTGACATCTGAAGGAACTGGAGAGTGTTAACTTCAATTATCGAGACCTAGTGGGTAAATAGCTCGCCGAGAAAACAACCAAACGCAGAAAGAGTCCAAGAAAAAGGGGTTCCGGGTAACTTCTAGCAGGTAGCGTATACATAAATAGAGAGGCACAATTATTCAAAAGGACAAAAAGGGAGACACAAAGCAGAACCAAAATAGAGAGAAACCTACCTGTTTGCAGAGAGTTGCTCCTTTCCCAGTAAATCTCCAGCAGATTCTTCAACTGCCTCTCCGTTACAAGCATCACCGTCAACATTTTTCCCAGGATTCGCAGTGAGGGGAGAAGCTTCTGGAACCAAGTCCTGGCCTTTCTCTCCTCCGGCTCCTTGCTCGGTCATGGGCTTCACCCCATCATCAGAGTCAAGCTTTCCCTCCATCTGGAAGATAATTGAACAGATCGATCCAAACGCTCCCGTAGATTTCAACCCCAACAACACCGGATTTGCAAGTGTTTGATATCTGGAAGCTTTTATGAAGCTGTTATTCCCTGTGGTGTTCAATTATCAGGAATTATAAATTCTTTGTGGAAACAATATTTCAATAAGCAACGTGTTTTTTGTGCTTCGATTTGTTATTTGTTTTCTTCTCCCTTGTCTGTCTCTCACATTGCCACATCTTTGACCTTTCCCTTCCGCCAATGGAAGCTTTTTCTCTTTGGCGCGGGACGCTGACACGTCAGCAAACTGTACCGAATCCAGAAATCACTATGCACAAGCAGTTGCGATGGCAGAAAAATTTACTCACTTTCCCTTTCTGCCCATCGGTTCCTCATTATTTCTCTCTTCTTTTTCCTTTTTTCCCTCCAAAAGAATATAACTCGTGGCTCCCACGGAATGATCTGAATGAAAGTGAGGCATCTAGTAATTTGATTAAAAAGTAATTACAAACGGGTTTTAATTAGAAATCAAGTATCTACCCCTGATTCTATTTACAAATACTAAGTATAATTTTACCCTTTAAACAGCTATTCTTAGAAAATATATTAAATTAGAGTAAAATTTAAAAAATAAAAAAAATTGAAATAGGGTTAATGAATTTTAAAATTGCGAGAATTTGAAAAAAAAATTGAATTTCAAAATTTTAAACCAATATTATTTACTACTCTTTAACAATAATTAATAGTATTTAAAAAGTAAATAACAACACTTTTTTTTGCTTAAGATTTAAAAATTTTAGATGCATTTTTAGGATTTTTTTCCTTTTAAATTTTTACCGATTTGAATAAAATATATTAGAAGTAATTTAAAAATAAAAAAAAGGACCAAAAGAGTAAATTGCTCTTTAATAAAATTTGTCAAGGTCACTGTACACTTCTTGAAAGGATTTCCCCTATGTTCCTTATCGCGACGCAGATTCAAACATTCCCGGATGCAGGGATAATGTATCATTTCCTTCACGAATTCGCATTTCCAATTATCATTACAAGCACCTAGCTATCCTCATGACTAATGGTATAACTTGCTTTTCACCCAGAGCCGAAGCGACAAAGGGAAGTAAGAAATATTACAATCACGCCAGCAAAGGAAGTCCTATCATATTTACAAAATGACATTCTATTCACGTAAGTTGCGAAGAAGAAGACTAATTTATTAGGAGACTACCCTTAAACTTAACGGCACTTCATTCTGACTCCTGCTAATCAGAATTCTTCGTAGGTAGTCATTTTTCAATAAAAACACTAATGTAATAAGCATAAACAAAAAAAAAGCTCAATCTCCCAAAAAAACTAGCCTATTAGAAAGAATAGCTCCTATCAAAGTTGGTCCAGTTAATAAGAAGTCGACTCATAACTCAAAAAGTCGTAAATTTTAATCTAATTGATTGTATGAGGATTTTTGTTGGTGGGTGATTCTAAGTATCTTGGTAAGTGTCATTTGAATTAGGAGATATACTTAGGTTCTTAATCCTTAAGAACTAACCCATCTAAATTCAACAAAAATAGAAGAAGAAGAAGAGTAACTTAGGCAATTTAGCATGGATTTGGATAATATTTGAAAAAAAAGAAGCATATTTAGTTATACAAAATAAATATATAAAAAACATTATTGTCCTATAAAATGTAAAAATGATTATTTTAGGAAATTCCAGACAGCGACGCCTATACCCAAAATAGCTTGACGCAAAACATGGATGACACGTGATATAAAATTTGTGATGAGATCCACTAAATATGAAGTGATAAACTTTGTACTTGCTACTGTGTTTAGGAAACAACTTATCACAAAATAAGTAGGAAAAATCTTTAAAAAGTGATGGTTGAATTTTAAAATTTTAAATCAGTATTAGTTACTATATTTATTAAAAAATGACTACATTAAAAAAAACAAATGATAACATATTTTTGTAATAATTCCTGATTTGAAATTTTTAAATTCAATAATTATTTTTTTTGAGATTTTTCCAAATAAGTATTCATCTGGATTTGTGTTAATTAATTAACCTTACTAAAAAACCAGGCCACTTTTACTTTCTCCCGTCTTTCCTTTTTAATGTCATTGTCGTCAACTTTAGCTTTAGGGCGTGTTTGGTTGGACCATGATTTGTAAAAATAATTTCATGACATACAAAATAAATATTAAAAAAATCTTATCTCAATTTATATAAAAATATTTTTTAAAAAGTACTCTTTGAAATCTTATCAACCAACCACTCTACCTGTTTTCTGATGGTTTATGTTCATGAGGAATCAAATCGCTGAGATCTTTTGTTGACCCAATAAAATCCTCAAAAATCTCCTGGGCTTGGAAATGACTTTGTTTTCTCAGGAGAGTGACTGATAATGACTAAACAATAAGTATACAAATGGCAAAATACCCACTTTTGGCGTTTCTGCCATTAAAAAAAAATCTGCAGACTAAAATACCCGACTTAAATAGAAGAATACAAAGACGGCTGATATATGTATATAAATAAACGAACAATACGTTAGGCTTGCTACACTACATTTCTTATCATAGGTGGAATATTGCATCAGATAAAACTAGTTATTTATGATGTTGGCCAAATAAATAATGTAGTTGGTTCAGTATTCCTTCTTGGTTATCCATCTCTTGCTAGTAAAATCAAATGAATAGGAAGAATTGTGCATGAACAAGTGCTGAGACGAATTAGATTCCTACAGTTATAGCGTAGTACTACTACTTGACTTATCCAGTTTGACTATGCCGTACTTGCAGAACACCAGCTTGAAGTGATTGTTTTTTTAGGGGTGTTCAAGGCCGGGCCATTCCGGTCGAGTCCGTTCCAGTCCAGACTTTATTGCGACGGGACAGGTCTGTCCTGAAATTTTTAGGGACGGGAAAAAAAGAGACAGGACAGGACACGGGACGAGATCGTCCCGTCCTGGCACAATCCGGTCCCTTTTATTTTTAAAATTTTTATCTTATTTATATAATATTATTTTTTATATATTTTTTTAAGATCTGAGACTATTGCATGGAACTATAGATATATTTATTCACAGATTTATATTTGTTGATGATTTGAGACTATTGATGATTAGAATCTATAACAAGTTTTATTGTGTTAAAAGCTTTTGTTTAGAGTTTTTAATGACTACTATATGTAATATTTTGAGCTTTTGTTTAAGGGTGCCTAAAAAAATAAAAAATAAAACAAAAATATGTTTTTACAATACCTAAGTCTAAAAAACTACAATTAGAAAAAAAAATAAATTTTATTAAAAAATTAAAAAATATATATATCGGGATGTCTGGTCCCGGTCTTGTCCCGACTGGGATCGAGACAATACCGGGATGGGATGGGATACATGATAGAAATTCTGTCCTGTTATTGGTTATCAGGACGGAATCGGAGTAGATCTGTCTCAGTCCCAATCTGTTTTGTGAATAGTCTTAGTTTTTTTCTTCAACAAAGGCATTTTTGTGAGAAAATATGTTCCCAGGAATACCCCGTCAAGTCCTGAGTACAATTCAAAGCTGCCATTCCTGTGAAGCATTTATTTGCATCACACAATGCAATCTATTTATTCATTCTCTTTCTTTCTAAGGGCAAATGAGGATAAAATGAGTTCAGATCACGAACCAGATAATTTATTGCAGGATATCGTCCCTAGGTCTTCATCCTCGGTATTTTTTTTATATAATCATATTATTTTGCTTGAAGCTATGTCTTGACAAAGATCAATATATATATTTATATATAATACGCAACAATTGAACCTAGAGACCGCGACAATTTTAAATGATATAATCATTTATTAGTTAGTGGTTGTTATTTGCTAAACTGTTTTTTTAGTTCTTCATGATTAAACTTGTAACTGAATCAATAAGCGCGTGTGAAAATAGTAGTTACGCTTTGATGGCATGATCATTTGTTATTCTATTAGCTATTACAATCAAGTAATTTTAGTCAGTGTTTATACTCCTCCGTCCTTATTATAGACCCAATTTGACTTTTTATTTGGTCCTAATTATAAGAATCCATTTTCTCTCTTATATTTATGCTTTTTTCCAAGATAATCCTTCTAATAATGATAGTTTTAGCCAATATACTTAATTAGCAAGAATATTTTAGGAATAACAATACTTATTTATTATAAATAACCAACTTAACTTACTTCCTTAATCTCCTCAAATAAGTCAATTGGGTCTTATAATTAGGACCGGAGGAGTATATGTTTTTTAGGATGTTTCCGGATGGAAATATATAGACATCCATAATCTAGTATTTCTGAAAATGAGAGTAGGGTTATACCTTCTAAAATGTATGTTTTATTTAACAGTTAGGCTTTCTAAGAAACTTTTTAAGCCTATCAGGATAATATAAACTTGTTACGAATTTATAATATTATGCAAAATTATGTATTTGGTATTACCTTGTTAGTTGATTATATTGTATCATATTTTATGATATATTTTAGATAATTTAGATTGAATTTATAATTTTGAATTGATTTATATAATTATGACATATTTTTAGTCTTACTTAAAGGCCCAGGTTTAAGCCTCTTTGAAATTTATAAAAACATAAGTTTTTTTAGTAGGTTTTTGTGGTACCTCACTTTTGTATGGGCCTGATGGCTTGAAAAAAAGTTATAAAATATCACCCTCGGCCGACTTCTTATAAAAAAGAGCCTGTCTGTCTATTAGCCTGGCCTGTTTTTAGCTACTGAAGTACTGATGGCAGTGAAACCATTTTACGACCTCCTCAGAAATGATGAGTTTATAGTTTAAATTCTGCTGTTAATATGAGAATTTTTGTTGAGGTGATTTTTGAAATCTGTGATTCAACTGACTAAATTTTTTTGTAACAAAAAAATTTCTGTTGTGCAAGAAAGGAAAAAAAGTAAGCGTTTTAACTATGTTGGCCAGAGTAATTTATTTAGGATCAAGCTGCATCCAACACTTTAAAATATTTTTCGGGTACATTCAGTATTCTAAAATATTTTATGGTGTATCCAATACCCTAAAATATTTTTTTAGATGTATCCAATACCCTAAAGTATTTTGTAGTACATCTAGCATTTTAAAGTATTTTTTTAGGTGCGTCCAACAGTCAAAATATTTTTTTGATGTATCTAGCACCAAGGCAAAAAAAGTACTTCAGAGTGATGGACATCCCTAAAAAATATTTTAGGGTGCTGGATGCATCACAAAATATTTTAAGATATTAGATGCACCCCATAAAATATTTCAGGGCGTTGGATGCAACTTAACCCATTTATTTATTATAATTTATCTATTTTTTTGAAAAATAGATTTGTTGTCAAATGGACCCTGTCCCTAATCCAGCGCAGGGTACCGAATATCAGCACCTTCTGCTCCTCATCGATCTTCGAAGTAATTAAGTGATCAATTTTCTGTTTCAGACATTGAAGTTGCAATTTTTCACTAAGGAGAAAAAAGTAAGGAAGAAACCCATTTGACGAAGATAAGAAAATGTCAGTGGAACCTCCCCAATTCCAAGAATCAGCGCGCTGCGATGTCTGCAATTGCAGCTTCAACACCTTCAGGCGACGGGTACCTCTCTCCTTCCTCCCAACCCATCCCCTAATAAAGAATTCCTGGCTATTGATCATTTTAGTCATGCGTATAACTATTCGCTGCTTCATTTTATATTTGTAAATTTGGAATTTGGGTAAAGATCGTGTTTTGTGCTATTTAGATAAACGAAGACCAGGTGTGCTGATGTGATCTTGCTAACATGTAATCTATCACATATAAGTGGTCATGAGATTCAGTGTCTTGCGAAAAGTATTGAAATGATTTAAATTAATATGATCTTCCATTAGGATAAGAGGATTGATGTAGCAGAAGTAAAGTGGCTTTATTTTATGGTTTTGAGATACTTATAATTATAATGTAATTTAGTAATAACAGCAGATTGGAAGGAATTCATAGATTCTGTAGAAAATCTTATGGACTGAACTGGCTCATGATTAGGGTGAGCCAGCTTAGACTGTTCTGTCCTGCCCAGTGACTGAAAATGTGATTTTAGTAAATCCCACCTGTAGTAGCCACTATTGGGAAACCATGAAGCTGCTTTTACTTTAATGCCAAATTATGATGTGATAACAATGGGAACTAAAAATTGTGCTAGTATGTTTGGAAATGGGACTAAAAGTTTGCGAAGGGGACTCATTCCCCTTCAAATTATCTTTTCATTTTACTGTTACGATTTAAAAATTTATATCTGTAAGATCTGCATGCAGCACCACTGTAGATGCTGTGGGAGAACATTGTGCCATGAACATTCATCCAATCAAATGGTATCCCCCCCCCCCTTTCCTCTTGTTTAATAGTTATGCAGATTGTTTTATTGGTGGTTGAACTTTATTCAAAGATATCTTTATTTGTAGGCTTTACCTCAGTTTGGCATTTACTCGAATGTCAGAGTATGCGCTGATTGTTTCAACAATTCGGGGTAAATTACTTTCTGTTGAACATCATATCTTGTTACATTTGTTGAAGTAGCATCTGATTTCTAAGCTAGCTATCCTGCTGTTTTTATATAATACATTCTAACTATGCTAGGATGATTTAGAAGGTTTCCTTCAGTTGAGCGTCTAATATGAATACCTTGTACTTTTTTATATCTTATTCCCTCCCTCATTTGATGGAAAATCAAATTCACAAAATCTTTGAATGAGAGACAAAGCTCTGTATATATTTATGCGTGCAGATAAGAATTAAAAGCTTCAGAATTCTTTTAAAATTATGTTGTTTAGCCATCACTGCATGCCTAGGCTTAATGCTTGATCCACCAATTGAATGTGGAGCAGAGTGCTCAATGTGCAATACATTAATTGGTATAGAATACTGGCATATTCTCTAATTTATGCCTTGTCAAATGGAGAATGGTATCATTCTAAAGACGCACTAGAAACTGTTTGAGATATTGTTAAATAAATTTTGGTCCTTCACTCAGCAACTTAACATTTGTGTTAAAATGGTTTTTTTAACCCCGAGTGAGAGAAGAATTCTTTCCTCACATTTTTATGTGGGGGATGTGCTTGCAGTAAGGGCAATATATTGAAGGAACTTTTTGTTTGTTGAGTAAGCATCTATTGTGAGCTCTCATCTGCATGCATCCAAACACTCCTGTAGCTTTTTTTTTTTTTTTCCGGGGATGAGTGGCCTAGCTAAACTAGCACTGCTTTTTATCAACGGCTCAAGAAAGTTTACCTGTGCGTTGATTAGTTTCTTCTTGCCAATGTGAATAGTTTTAAGCACTTCATGTTACCCATGGCTAGTTTAATTTTGTACCAACTGTAGATAATATTATTCGTGGAACAAAAATAAGACTTTTCAAAATATAATTATGGGGCCTGTTGGGAAATCATTCAACGAAGCCAAAGATCTTACTCGATGTTAGAGCTAACAGCTTTAAACTTTGGTTATAGATTGGTCTCAAGAGTAAATAACAGTAGTAAGTCGTCTAGCTTGATGGTGTGAGGTGGAGTTATTGGCAGATTTTTTTTTTTTAATAATTATCATTGACCTATGGCTATGTTTCTTGTCTTCTCTGAAAAATTTGGCTTGGCCGTACTTAGTCTTTTATGATATTGCTATCTGTTAAGGTATCAACAATAAATCATGTCTTTTGTTTGGGTCAGATCGGGGAAGCCTGACCCACAGGTTTCTTCAGATGGAACACATACCATTACAAATGCATTTTCCAAACTAGACATTGATGCGCATGTAAATTCAAAGATCGCACCAACAGCAGAGAGTAAGGTTGCAGTAGGTATTAAAGAGTGTAAATGTGGAATGCCTCTTTGCATTTGTGAAGCTCCAGCCCCTTCTTCTGATGAACAGCCCCAGCAGGTAATAGACTTCTATCATCATAAGGTGCATATATCATTTGGTGCAGTCATGTGCTCATTGGTTTCTTTTTTCTCTTTAGCACAAGAAAAAAATCACTCCAGTCATAACACCTCCATCAAACCCTAAACCAAAGAAGTCAGATGTTCCTAAAAGTAGAAGCTCTACATCAAACAGCAAGTTTAGGTGGGTATTGATTGTTAGATCTCTGTTATGACGATGTTACTTTTAGTATCTACTTAAAGACCAACATTATTCTTTTGCATATGTTGATTACTGCCTGGTTTTATCATTAGTTAAATTCAGTCTAGAAGAAAAGAGAGGAGCTTCTTATCTTGAAAGCTTTAACTTACAAATTTACAATATATTTTCCTCCAAGATATCTAAGCCCTAGTAGTCGAGTACCAGAGCATTATGTACAACTTCTTGATATGGTTTATTTTTGTGCTATACCTGCAAAGGTGCCACTCTTTGATGCCTGTTTTTTCAAGATATCTTATATTCATAAAGAAGCCATTATTTTCAGTATTTTTTTGCTCATAAACTGGGTTTCACAAAATCTGTACCCAATTATGCTCTCCGATAGTTTGTGTTATCATTATTTGATGTTCGTTATGCAAACTACAGTTCTTTCAATCTTGGTCATGTTTCCCGTGGTGCCTCTGACAGTTCCCTGATGGACTATGAAGCTACCGGAGAGGTATCATATCTTTACATAGATTTATGCAATATTCAAGGCCCCATTGCCTGAAGATCCTAGTTTTATCAAATTGCATACTAATTGCATTTTGTGTTCTCAGGGTTTGAGAGAAGCAATAAAAAATGGTGATGCTGCTTCTGTTAGGAAACTTCTAAATCAGGTCACCCCCCCCCCCCAAAAAGAAAAAAAAAAAACCATTTGGTTTAAAAAGAAAAAGAGTTTACGCTTTTTTAGCTTTTTTCTAGAATCAGTATTTATATGAGTTTTAATGTGTGCAGGGCGTGGATGCAAATTACAGGGACAAGCAAGGACTGTCTTTATTGCATTTGGTATTTCTCTCTTTCTATAGGCACGCACGCATGCTGAACCAGCATTTGGATCTGATTGCATAAACATAACTATATATTGTTTTATTTTGCCGACAAACATAATTATATTTTTTAATCACATATAATTCTTACTTATTTCAACGTTTTCTGAAGGCTGCTGTCTTCAATCAGACTGATATAGTTTTCATTCTCATGGATGCTGGGGCAAGCTTAGAATACAAGAATGCACAAGGCAATTAAATCCTTTCTCTTCTTAGGGTTCAGCCATTTAAAGTGTTGTTATGACAGTAGGCCTAACTAATTACTTGTTATTCAGGAGAAACACCATTGGATTGCGCACCGGCTACCTTGCAATACAAAATGCAGAAGAAGATGGAAGAGAGCAAGGCAACGGATGCTCAAAGCAAATGATAAACATGTCACTTCCCTAATTTACTTATGCTTGGGCTTGGGGAGGCCAAAGCAAGCATGACACAACACCAGCGTCCCAGACTCCTTTCTTTTGCCCAACAATACATTTTGGCTTCTTTATAATGCAAAAAAGTGTTTATTTCCTTTCTTTTGCAATGACATGGCTTGGTATGAAACGAAGAACGTAAAGGATATATAGAACACATCTTTTTGCACCTCAGAATCTTCTGAACTGCTCCATATAGTTCAGTGTATGACCGTTGATGAGCATGTTGGCTTTCTCACGCTGACAGCATATAACTCGCTCTCATTTCTTTGTTAACTCTCTGTTTGGAGGTGTCAAGGAGAATGAAATACTGAACAAAGATTAATTTCCGATGCAGTCTCTTGCCATGATATTGATTGTTGCGTGGGTGGAACGAAACGACTAGTCCTTATCTGTGAGCTTGGCTGACCTAGATCTGAATTCGAAATTCCAATGTATCTTTAATAGTGCTGCTTTCAAGAAAGTCTCTTGGCTCTTTATTATTTGTTTACTTGAATCCCTTAACGCATGATAGTTGAAAAGAAACGCGGATAATTCTCTTCAGCCTGGGCCTGGATATGAATAATTTTTATATTAATACTCCTCTGGTCCTTAGCTATTTTCATCACCCATCAATATCAATCAATAGTTAATACTACCTCCAGTCTTTAATATAAGATGTTGTTTGACTTTTATTTTAGTTTTAAATATAAGACCTCAATTTATTTTGTCTATCATATATATGCATTTTTTCCAAAATAGTTTTTCTAATAATGATAGTTTTAGCCAATGCACTTTATTAACAAAGATATTTTAGAAAAGACAATACATATTTATTACAAATAACTAACTTAACTTCTTTCTTTGATTTACTCAAATTAGTTAACTAGCTCTTATAATTAAAACTGAAGGTAGTGTTATACTGCAATTTTTATGCAAGCGTGTTGCTGAAATTTTAAATCACCACCTCCCGTTATCATGTTTGCTACTATGTACATATTGAAGCCATCCGCAGATGCAACCATGTGCAATATGCTCAACAATTTAAAACATATGATGCCCAAAATACTTAAAAGAGCAAAATATCACTAATATGAAAAGAAGCAGTGTCGTTCACAATTTTGGCGAAAAATACCTCTCATAAAAGAGTGTAGTTATCCATTTCAAATTGAGCTTTATAAGTAATTTATAGTCAAATCACTTGATCACCCAGATTAGCAAATACAATAAGCAAGTCATGCATCCTAACAACAATTATTCACAAGCCTAATCGCATAATTTAGCTTTCTATAAAATTTATGTATTAGTAGAAAAATGTGTTTGTTTTTTTAATAGAAGATGACTTATAAATAGTACAAATTTTATTTTTTTTATTTGCATCAGTAATTCAGTATTGATAAGCTTTGAATTTTACACACCTATTTACATCATTTCTTACAAACTAAGCTAGTTTTTTTTTCTTGCTTTTTAACTTATTTATCTATTTTTTGGCCAACATTTTAGCTCTTCTTTTTGTTGGGTGCACATTTTAACTCGTTTATCTAAATTCCTCGAAGTTGACCATGAAGGCCGAAACGATTGAAAAAACAGCTCAGACGACGTCCCAGCGTAAGAAAAATTTTCGCGGGCCAAAAAAAAAAAAAAGCCATTGGCTTGAGCAAAATAATCTTCTTCCCTGTAAAATCTCAGATGGGAGTTGAGACTGGCAGCATAGAATGTTTCATGGTCTGAAGCGAGAGACCAGAGCAGACCCGTGATGAAGCTTTAGAGAAATATACTACAGACAGATCCAAAAGCGTTACTTTGTCTCAATTGCTCTTTCCTTCTCCATTCTCTCATTGCTATTTACTCTGATCTATTCACGTTCACTCTCTTTTATTTTTGCCGAGGTATAATTTTCTCCCACTTTCCTATCGTTCTGTGGCATCGAATTCCTTCGCTGGTGGATGAGTTACCGATTGCGGAGACTTTTCCGTGGATTCTTAGGATTAATGGATCTTGTTTTGGTTTCTTTTGATCTTCAATTTAGCTGCATTTTCGTTTCGAACCGAGTTGTCTGGGTGGTGATCTGTGTGGCGGTTTGAATTTTGCTGCCAGGAGTTTAGCAAAACAATGGCTGGAGGTGCTGCTGGGGGTTTTGTAACTCGAGCATTCGAATCACTGCTCAAAGAGTGTTCTTCTACCAAGAAGTATCCCGAGCTACAGAAGGCTCTTCAGACGTACATAGGTTGCCAACCCTAGATCCTGTCTTACATTGCCTTTCTTTTTCTTTTCTCTATTTTAGTTGTCGTTATGACCCGCTTTTGTCTATTCCAAGCGATCTCTTATTCTAGTTCAGTTAGCGGGAATGCTCGATGCTGCTACTATGCTCATGGTTTCGTTAATTGCTTTGTGGATTCTGTTTTCTTTTCAGACGTTACTAAAGGTTTCAATCAGATACAGCAGGCTGCTCCAGGTGAGGCCAATCAAGCAGCACCCTCTGCAGGAGATGAGAGGTAAATGCTTCAGATTATTCTTGTTAATTTTGCATTTTTCCTCTTCTAGCTTCCAATATAGCATTGTCACAAAAAAAGGTTATTATTGTCAAAGCTATCATTAAGCTCTGAGAAAAACATTCTCTGTTTACTTTCGGTTCTACCAGCAATCTATCAGAACAATGAAGCTTTACTGTCACTTCGCCTAATTTTATCAGGATTTAAAAAAATTTTCTTTGCCCTTTAAGTTTCTCATGTCATTCATGGAGGAAGTGCATGATTCCTCTATGTTTTAGCATCATAGATATGTTATGTGCAGCAATATTATGTTGCAAATCATTATTATGACACATTATAGTTCTTTGAACATTTCCTTCTGATCTAGTCAATGCCACTCTCATTGAATTTTTCTACTGTAAGCTATTTAATAAATTAATTATATGGAAAATGAATCATCCTTATATGGTGAGAGTGAGATCAATCCCTCCATATTGAATCTGGTCTTTGGAGCTGTGTAGTTATAACAGAGAAATAATTTTTGTTTGTAGCGCGCTTGACACTGAAGCTGGAGCAACTAGAACAGAGGCAGATCAGTCACAGAAGGGTGAACATGTTATTGAGGAGGCAGAGCCCGGTAGCAGGCCTAAGAGTGTAAATATTACTGCTATTTTAGCTCATGCTGGGCATACTCTTGATGGAGCTGATGCGGAGCTTGTTTTGAAGCCACTCAGACTTTCCTTTGAGACAAAGAACTTGAAAATTCTAGAACCTGCCTTAGACTGTCTACATGTATGTGCTCACTTAATTGGTTTATGTTCTTACCCATTGATGGAGGAAGGGAGAAATCCTTCTATTTCATCATTGACTAATGTTTTGTGTGTATATAAATGTATGTAAGTTTGTGTGAATATACACAGAAGCACTAAGTTGTGATATATTCTTGATAAATCTTACAAGTAACCATGAACATTGATGGTAAAATTGAGAGAGTTGCTTAATCTACTTGTTTACTTTTAAGCACAGAAACTTATTGCTTATGATCATCTGGAGGGAGATCCTGGGTTAGATGGTGGTAAAAATGCCCCACTTTTTACAGACATTCTGAACATGGTTTGCAGTTCTATCGACAATTCTTCACCTGACAGGTATGCATCAATGTAGTTTTTTAATGGCTTTCTGAATTCAAGTTTCTTATTTCACCTATTTTATTGAAGCAGTACTGTACTCCAAGTGCTGAAGGTACTTCTTACTGCTGTGGCCTCCGCAAAGTTCAGAGGTACTGTTGTTAAATCAAATCCATTTTCTTGTGATATATTTCTGCTGAGAATAATTTATTGCTGTGAACAAAACATATTTGAGGATCTTGCATATAGGCTTTAGTTTAATGTACCTTGTTTTCACTTTAGTTGCAGTAAGTGATGTGGATGCATTTTGTGTATAGGTAGTAAATGGTTAATATATTGTTCATTGAAGACAAACTTTTTTCTCAAAAGGAGCCTAAATTTCATGTTTAATTAGACCCTTTTTTTGTTTTCAAATATTATTTTTGAGTATCTTGCGTTCATTTTAGTAAGTATTTCATAATCAGAAATAAAGATATCTATAAGTGTAGATTTAACAGAATTTTATCCCTGTCTATCTTTCAATAAGCTGAAGTAAATAAGGAAGTTTGTTTAGCAAAATTTTCTGACTAATCTTCCCTCAGCTTTTCATTGTTTGTTTTGGCTGCATTTTATCTTCATATTTGTTTTCGTATCTGAGATGTGAAAGATGATAGCTAGTTATGAGGCTTTCAGTCTGGAACTAGAATTCTCATTTATTTTCTTCTTTGGATGCAATTTACATTCCAGTTTTAGTCTATTTGAAAGAGGCAACTTTAATGCGTTGACTATGGAATCGGTAATGGAGGATGTCTGTCTGTCTGTTTCTGTGTGTGTGTGTGTGTGTGACAGTGAACTGAAAAAGAAAGAAAATTTACCAGGTGATATGTTTTATTTTAAACAAAATTCCATGGCAATAGGCAGTTAAATACTGTATAATTTCAGTCAAAATATCTATAAGATCTGGAATAGTATCTTGATTTTCCTTTTTCCGAAGTTATTGATTATTGATTTGAAATGTATCAAAATGGTGCAAAGTTTGGGCTGGAAACGGAGCTTTCCAATTAGGCATGACACAGTACTAATACCTTATTAATGGGTCATGAGGCTTCTAATTGTTGATAAATGCATTTTAATGGAGAACACAATGCCCTTAGGTTGAGTAGTTTCTCCTGTGAGGGTCTGCTGTTATCTATAATCAGGCGTGATCACTTTCAAGCCAATTGGGGGGGGGGCATACAATGTTTTAGACAAAAGCCATAAGGGGCGCACTACTGCTTCGTTTCTTTGACAATTTATTTTCAGTTATGGCATTGGTTTGTTCAAATTAATCACAGTACTCTGGAATTATAGATGCATGCATTCTTCTAGCTGTGCTTTGTGTCGGCCTGATTTTCTCATGGTCCTTTGCATAAAGAACCACTGTTGCTGCTATAACATGCGGTGGTTCTCTTCTTTGTTTTCTCCTTTTGTTTTAATATTTGAATCTTCTTTCTCTCCATGCTTCGTTGAGTGTGTGTTTTGAACACATCTTCATGATACAATGCCTGTCCCTTGTTCAGTGCATGGGGAACCGTTGCTGGGAGTTATTCGAGTATGCTACAATATTGCTCTTAACAGGTACTATTACTTCTTGTGTATTCTCCAAGGCTTGTAATATTATTATACAGTACTTACTTGTTATATTAATTGTCTGGATATATAGCAAGAGTCCTATAAACCAAGCAACAGCGAAGGCAATGTTGACACAGATGATTAGCATCACTTTTAGGAGAATGGAAACTGATCTGGTGTGGAATTGAAATCCCTTCCATTCAGCATCTTTTGGATATACCTGTTATGGAATACTATTAGTGACATCTATCAAATTATCCAGGTTGAATCTTTATCTGGTTCTGGTTTACCTTCAGAGGATGCTTCAGCAGAGAATTTGAACACAAAAACTGAGGAAACTTCCATGGGGGATTCAAATGACAAGGAAATGACTCTAGGCGATGCACTTAGCCAAATAAAGGAGGCGTCTCCAACATCGCTTGAGGAACTTCAAAATCTTGCTGGTGGTGCTGATATCAAGGTGAAAGATGTGCATATGTATTTCTTTTAGATAAACTTCATTAAGGGGAGGGTAACATATAAACGAGGAGGACTAATTGTCATCCTAAGAAGAGGATTGAGTATAAGGTAGCTGCTAGAATCCTATTGGGACCCCTATTGGGTAGTATTAGATGTCTAAATAGGTCTCTAAGTCTAGAGGTTTTGACTTCCTAACTAGCTAGTCTTTTGGTAGAGTGAGTGACGAGATGGTTGAGTGAGCTACCAAGGGCAGAGCTGTTGCGGATGTTGGCTATGATGGGTAAATCTCTGCAAGGATCCTATTAAATCTCACATTGGGTAGTAAGGGATGCATAAGTGGATTTACAATTCTTGAGGCTCTTCCTAATGGACTAGTGTTTTTGGAGAAATCCTCCTCTAGGCTTGTAACAGTAGTAAACAAAAATGTGCTTATTTATGCATCTCATATAGTATATATTTCACTTATATTTACATGTTGTACAGGGCTTAGAGGCTGTACTTGACAAGGCTGTGCATATTGAAGATGGTAAAAAGATAATCCGGTATGAATATGATATTGTACTTTTGGTAGCTCATTGTATAGCTCTTACTCAGAGTAGATGCTCAGACTATTAGTCTTGTTTCTGTTAAGAGGAATTGATCTGGAGAGCATGGGTATTGCACAACGTGATGCTCTGCTGGTCTTCCGCACTCTTTGCAAGGTAGGTTGTCTGTCATTATGATATTGGAATTGCTGCTATCTCCCTGTTAACCTCTCTAATGCTCCGTACATTAATTTGGCAGATGTGTATGAAGGAAGATAGTGATGAAGTTACAACCAGAACACGAATATTGTCTCTTGAACTTCTGCAGGTATAAAGTGATTTTTATATCTGCTTCTAGCCTTTAATTTGATTAGTTAGTCAAATTATGCTTCATAATGTATTGTATCCAAATATCCATGACATTATCTTCTCAAGTGCAGAGACAATGATGGATGGGGTATTATATTACTCACCCCCAAGCATTTATAAAGAAAGAACAAGTTTCTTTCTCTACTGAATCCTTGAATCCCCTGTGGGAAAATTTACTAAATGAATAATTTTTCCAAAGTTGAGCCTTTTGTACTTCTAATAAACTGATATAAAATCACAAAAACAGAAAAAGGAATTGTCTGAAAGAACAATAGAATGCATTTGGGATTGTATTATTTCCTGCTATTTTCTAATAGTGCTCCCTCCGTTCCGTTTTATAAGATACAATTAACTAAATCACATTATTCAAAAAATTAGTTAAAATTAGTTAGGTGCAATACATATGTAAAGAGTGTAACATTTTTGCCAACAATACCCTTATTTATGTGGGAGAGAGATAATGTGTGGGAGAGAGAATGAATGGGAATTAAATACAATTATATGAGTAATATAAGTAATTAAATAGGGGTAAAATAGGAAATCAACACACAAAATTTGAGACAACCTATAAGTGTCTCTTATAATAAGAAACTTGATATACTTTATAATTGTCTCTTATAATAAGGAACAGAGGAAGTATTAAACTAGTAGACATGCACGCACATGCGCGCACTACCTATGATTCTTCAGTGGGGTAGGTATCTTGCTATATTCAGACCCTTAAAAATAAGTAAGATTTTGGGGGACCTATAGGGATATTTTGCCTATCCCTACTCATGGGCATGCAGAAATCATTATGCACTACTATATTTATTTCACGCCATCCTGACAGGAAAGAGGTTGATATATTGTTTGGCAATCTTCATTGTTCTATATTTGATCTTCACGATTGCCTGTTTTTGAAAGTTACTTGTTTCAATGTTAAATGCTCAGTGTTTGATTGTGATCTCAAGGATCCTTCGTTTTCTTTCTCAGGGTTTGTTGGAAGGAGTTAGCCATTCATTTACAAAGAACTTTCATTTTATTGATTCAGTAAAGGCTTATCTTTCATATGCATTATTGCGAGCTTCAGTTTCACAATCCCCTGTCATATTTCAGGTTCTCTTTTCTCTTTCCTTCTTTCCTACTTTGTTTTTGGGAATTAGATTATCTTCCCTCATTTCCTTAAAGGAGTTCGCAAAATTTATGGTGATGATGCCCTTCTTTGACACTTGACAGTATGCTACCGGAATATTCTCTGTCCTGTTACTGCGATTCAGGGAGAGCCTCAAAGTATGCATATCATTTTGCAGATGTGACAGTAGCTTCTCACGATAGACATTGTTAATTTGATGCGTGGTTTTTTTTTTTTTTTTTTGGCTTTCAGGGGGAAATAGGCATATTCTTTCCCTTGATAGTTCTAAGACCACTTGATGGTTCAGAATTTTCAGTCAACCTAAAACTAAGTGTTCTTCGGTATAATGCCCTTCTCTGCCAACTCTAGATGTGCCATACAATATTATTATTTATATATTTTTTATGTTGGCATATAAATTTGTTTTAGTGGATATCTCGGCATGATGGGTTTTCAATATATCATTTGCTATTCTCTTCTCAATTACTAATCTAATGAAGTGCGGCTCTGCAGGATGTTAGAGAAAGTAAGTAAGGATCCACAGATGCTTGTTGACATTTTTGTTAACTATGATTGTGATCTTGAGGCACCAAACTTGTTTGAACGAATGGTATAGTCTTACATTTATATTTTCTGTTATGTAATGTACAGAATTTATTTAATTCACTCATGAGCAATCTGTTTTACAATTTTAATATGTAGGTTACATCTCTATCCAAAATAGCTCAAGGGATTCAAAATACTGATCCTAATTCGGTTGCTGCATCTCAATCATCTTCAGTTAAAGGCGCATCACTTCAAGTATGTGTAATGGCTTATTTCATTTATTAAAGTCACTATTTAATTGAGCTACATCGTGACTAAATTTGTGGTCCACGCCCACATTTTTTATCCTTTCAGGGTCTAGTAAATGTTCTTAAATCACTGGTTGATTGGGAGAAATCACATAAGGAATCAGAGAAGTTAGGAAAGGGTGACCTGCATGAGGGGATTTCTGCTGGCGATTCTGTGGAAATGAGATCCAGGGATGATGCAACCAGTGATTTTGAGAAGGCAAAGGCTCATAAAACCACATTGGAGGCTGCTGTTGCTGAGGTAACCAATTATAAGTGCTTGAAACTTCTTAACAGGAAGGAACAGCTTGCTGAACTTCCTTGTTTAATGCTTGGCATGCTGTTGGGGTCTCACTAATGGTTTTGATGATCTTTTAGTTCAACAGGAAACCAGTGAAAGGGGTGGAGTATCTAATATCAAATAAGTTGGTAGAAAATGCACCTGCTTCGGTTGCTCAATTTTTGAAAACCGCTCCAAATCTGGACAAGGTTGTAACTCATCTATTATAATATAGTTTATAATCTAACATTATATACAAGTTTGGTTGGGAATATATAATGTTCCTTTGGGATTTCAGGTTACTATTGGTGATTATTTAGGTCAGCATGAAGAGTTTCCCCTTGCTGTGATGCATGCTTATGTAGATTCCATGAACTTCTCTGGAATGAAGTTTGATTCAGCCATCCGTGAGTTTCTCAAAGGGTTCCGACTTCCAGGTGAAGCTCAAAAGATAGACCGAATCATGGAAAAGTTTGCAGAGAGGTAACGCTTGTTTTATTTTTGATTTTCCCAAGCTTTTTGGCCTTTTCTTTCCCCTTGACTAAGTAGGGTTTGATAGTCTGTTTCAAGACATGAGTCACCAAATAGATGTAATGATAGAGGAGTTATGTCTTAACAATGACTGTGGGCCTATTTATAGGTGACTTAAACAAATCTAATTGAATTGAAAGTCACATGGTTTAATTCTATGAGAATCCTAATAAAACTCTGCTGAGGGTTAGATTTTGAAAAGCAGCTGAAAGTTGCTATTGCAAGCCTTAAATCCAAGTCATAATTACATGATAAATTAATTTTAATTCTATTTTCCTATTCCTGTATGAATGACCAGTTTACTCCCAAATGTGGAGGGGTAGTTAAACTTAAAATTTGTGAGGTACATATGCTGTTTATATGTGTGAAGCACCTCTGAACAGTTCAGAAGATCTTGTGCGATTCAAAAGAAATACAGACTCTGCTACTACACCTATTATCCTCATCGTCGTCATTGTTTTGGTTTTCGTCTGCCATACCAGAGAAAATTGCTAAAATGTAATTTTTACATTTTGGTTCGTTTGGAAAACAAAAAACACAAGATAGATTCATGTATGATAGGTATTCTACATATCTAGATAATTCATATCTTTTGTACTAATTGAGGTGATAACTTTTTCACATCTCTTGTCTGTGGCAGATATTGTGCAGATAATCCTGGTCTTTTTAAAAATGCAGATACAGCATATGTTCTTGCATATGCTGTTATTATGTTGAATACTGATGCGCACAATCCAATGGTGTGGCCTAAAATGTCCAAGTCAGATTTTATACGTATTAATGCCATGAATGATGCTGAAGAATGTGCTCCTACAGAAATGCTGGAAGACATCTATGATTCCATTGTCAAAGAAGAGATTAAAATGAAAGATGATGCATCTGTTATTGGAAAAAGCAGTAAGCAAAAGCCAGAGAGTGAAGAGGGACGTCTTGTCAGTATTCTTAATCTGGCTCTCCCCAAAAGGATGTCATCAGCAGATGCCAAAGCGGAGAGTGAAGAAATTGTTAAGAAAACACAGGCTATATTCAGAAATAAGGGTGTTAAAAAGGGGGTATTTTACACTTCTCGGCAGATTGAACTTGTAAGGCCCATGGTAGAAGCTGTTGGTTGGCCGTTGCTTGCTACGTTCTCTGTGACTATGGAAGAAGGTGACAATAAGCCTCGTGTTGTTCTATGCATGGAGGGTTTTAAAGCTGGCATTCATATTACATATGTGCTTGGAATGGATACCATGCGCTATGCATTTTTAACATCTCTGGTCAGGTAAGTGATCCTTTCAACATGCTCTCCTGCCATTTTAAATGGTTTTATGTTTCTCTATTTTGACTTAGATCATGCTTAGTGCATGGACCTGCGGTATGACAAATCTGACGTTTATGAAAATAGAAAATATTCACTTAGCCCCTCCGTTGATACTTCAGGTTTACTTTCTTACATGCCCCAAAGGATATGCGTAGTAAAAATGTGGAAGCCATGCGGACACTGTTGGCTCTTTGTGACTCAGACACAGGTGCCCTTCAAGACACATGGAATGCAGTTCTGGAATGTGTTTCTCGCCTTGAATTCATAGTATCAACTCCAACAATATCTGCCACTGTGATGCTTGGATCCAATCAAATCTCCAGGGATGCTGTAGTTCAATCTCTAAAGGAGTTGGCTGGAAAACCCGCTGAAAAAGTATTTCTTAATAGTGTTAAGCTACCTGGTGATTCAGTTGTGGAATTCTTCAATGCTCTTTGTGGTGTATCAGCTGAAGAACTAAAACAAACACCAGCTCGTGTTTTTAGCCTTCAAAAACTTGTTGAAATCAGCTATTACAATATGGCTCGTATACGTATGGTATGCCTTTTATCAAATAAAGTTGTATGTCTTTTCTTTATAAGCTTGCTGTGGCCTAGCATAAATTGATTTTGGTAGGAACTTAGTTTACTTTTCAAATTTTTTATCGCATGCTATTGTTTATTCCATGTTTTCGACATATTGACCCGTCATTTGGCATAATAGCTCTTAAGTGAGAGGTGAGAAGGGTAGCTAATCATCTTTAATAAATTAATGATATTAATACAAATATCATGATAGGAAAATTATTTATGATGGTTTTTGTTTTAATTTGGATCATCGATTTGTGATGATGATTGCATCCTTTTCTCCCTTGATACATTTTGAGGCTGCTTGATTATTGGAATGGATGAGAATGGAATGGAAAAAGAAGTTGAAAAAAATAAACAAATAAAGTGACTAAATTAGGGAAGGGAGATAAGTCAACTGTATCCAAAAGGTAGCAGGGGTAACTTACTTGGTTCAAACGAATTTGGGCTGGGGAGTCATGATTCATGAGGTCTACCATGGGTATGTTGATTCCCACATTTCTGGTATTGGGCTTTCCCATGGGAAGGATGAGGCCAAGATAAACAGGCAACCAACACATCATGATAAAATGGAGACATCATTCTCATTCTTTAAGCTTGACTCTAGCAACCAAACCGGTGCTTCCTGATTATACATGCACACACATACACACGATCATTCAAGACCCTCTCAGTTACTGTGGAATGATAAGAAATGTGATTTTGCTCAAACTTTTTATCATCTTTAAGATGAATGAGCTATTATCCCTTCACATTAAACTGTGAGCCTATTGTGTTCTTCCATGTAACTGTTCAGCCTTTTGATGCTTCTGTGAGTGTTCTGAGGTTGAAAATTCTTATTGGTATGTCTTCCAGGTCTGGGCTAGAATATGGCATGTTCTGGCGAATCACTTCATATCAGCTGGGAGTCATCATGATGAGAAAATTGCTATGTATGCCATAGATTCTCTAAGACAGCTAAGCATGAAGTATTTGGAGCGTGATGAGCTGGCCAATTTCACCTTCCAAAATGACATTCTCAAACCGTTTGTTGTCCTCATGCGTAATAGTCAAAGTGAATCCTTAAGGAGCCTGATTGTTGACTGCATTGTTCAGGTCTCTCTTGAATGGTTTCCCACATCTTTTCCTTTTCGTTTAGTTTAGTCTCCAAAATTGGCTTTTTCCTAGGTTGTGGCATATTTGCTTAACACGGTTAGTGGTTGTTTTTATCTCAGATGATCAAATCTAAGGTTGGAAGCATCAAGTCTGGATGGCGTAGTGTCTTTATGATTTTTACAGCTGCTGCTGATGATGAATTGGAATCAATTGTTGAGAGTGCATTTGAGAACGTTGAGCAGGGTAGGAATGACTTTCTTTGGTCTTGCCATAATAGTTGTCTGCTGCATTTTTGTCTATTTTGACTCTTGGTGTATTTGCAGTTATCTTGGAACACTTTGATCAAGTAGTTGGGGATTGTTTCATGGACTGCGTAAATTGTCTAATTAGGTTTGCCAACAACAAGGTTTCACATCGTATAAGTTTGAAGGCCATAGCACTCCTGCGTATTTGTGAGGATCGCCTTGCAGAGGTTTGTTTTTTACTATTGGGAATTTGAAGTTTCATATCATTGTCATGTCTTGAGATTCTTTTACTAATTGGTTTCTTGTTAAGTCATCACCCTTGGTGTTTGCTTGTTACAAAATCACTCAGAGTGTTTTAGATTGCTTGTCTGTTTTAGGGTCTTATTCCTGGAGGTGCTTTGAAGCCAATTAATGCAGAAGTAGATCCAACTTTTGATGTGACTGAGCATTATTGGTTTCCAATGTTGGCTGGCTTGTCTGATCTAACATCAGATATGAGACCAGAGGTGAGAAACTGTGCGCTTGAAGTCCTGTTTGATTTACTCAATGAAAGAGGCAGCAAGTTCTCTTCATCATTTTGGGAGAATATATTCCATCGTGTTCTATTTCCCATTTTTGATCATGTGAGACAAGCTGGAAAGGAGGGCATTGTTTCTTCCGATGATGAATGGCTCCGTGAAACAATTATACATTCACTTCAGCTGCTCTGCAACCTTTTCAACACTTTCTACAAGGTAAAGAACTAAGAACATTATTATCCTTGTGACTTGACTGCTAATAAGCTGGGTAGCCTAGTTTTAAATATATTAATCAGGGTTGTTCATCTTGATGCTAAGTTTTAGCATTGTCAATTCAGTATAACAGCTGCCAGGACCAATTTTGTTGCTTTCATTATTCAAATACCAATACCAAGAACTTCTTGAGACCAATGCATCTTTTTGCTAGTCGGTGCTTTCTTCAGATTAATGAGACTGGGGATAGCTTGGCGAGAGAAGAACAACATTACTGAAGTTATTGAATTAAGATATGCTACCAATCAGGACATTTATTCAGTTGAGAGGTCAAAAAAGAAAACTAGATATACTGAATCATTTGATATAGATAATGAATATGTATCATGAAAACTTTTGAACAAGTATATATGTCAAAATAGTTTATTTACTTATCAAGCTGTCGTTATTTGGGATTGTTGAAGGCGCTTCTCTGAAATACTGTTTTTTTTTTTTTATGTACATGTGCTGTTTGAAGAGACTTAATGTGCTTACATCATTGATACCTTAAACTTGAAGGATTGACTTCTTCAAATTAAATGAAGAATGAGTTCAATTTTTAAATTTTCTTATCAATTATTTAATTATGGCTGTGTTTTAAAATATTAATTATGAGCCAACTTTCTTCCAGGAGGTTTGTTTTATGCTGCCACCTTTGCTGGCTTTGCTGTTAGATTGTGCCAAAAAGCCAGATCAAACTGTGGTTTCAATATCTCTTGGTGCCTTGGTTCATCTAATTGAAGTTGGGGGACATCAGTTTAGTGAAGCTGACTGGGAGACACTGCTGAAAAGCATAAGGTACATTTTGTTTTGTTTTCTGAAGATCTTCTGTGATGAAGCCCTTATTAATAGGATCAGTGTATTTAACTTTGATCTCCAGTGATGCTGCATATACAACGCAACCACTTGAGCTGCTTAATACCTTCAGCATTGAAAATATGAGAAATTATGGAGGCATAGATAGATCAGATACCAGTGCAGGTGATGGTCTTACTGTAAAGTCTATTGACAATGAGGCAGTGGGTGTCCGTCAGCTTAATGTCAATGATAACGGAAAGCTATTCCCTCAAGCTTACTCAAATATAAATGTTGATGGAGTTGAAGGTTTAGGATCGCAGACAAATTCAGACCGATCTGAAGGTCAGGTTTTTCAAAACATCTAATAAATTTCATATTTATGCATAGTTTGCTTTTAGTGGGATTATTGAAATGACATCAAATGGACACTGTATTTTTTTGAAAATGGAAAACCATTATAGATAGGAAATTGCTAACTTGATTTTCTTTCTACATTGCACTGTAGAAAGAAAATGAAAAGTGGGATACAGGGGAAAATGAAGAATAAATATATGTTTGATGATAGTCATGAAATTATTTATTGCTGTAGGCCTTCCTTCACCATCTGGAAGGTCTCCCAGACCGGCAGATGTTGCAGGCCTCAAGCGGAATCAAACATTAGGTCAACGTATTATGGGAAATATGATGGACAATCTCTTTCTCAGAAATCTTACTTCCAAATCTCAAAGCCGACCTTCAGATGCTTCTCAACCTCCTTCTCCAGCTATGGTATTGTACAGGATATGATTATCATTTGCTGATCTTATGTCATCTGTTTTAAAGTGATCATATAAATGCTTTTATTATTTTGATTTGATTCAATGCCATTTTAGGTTACTGATGCTGTAGAACCTGATACCAAGGATGAAGAGAGTCCTTTGCTAGTTACTGTCAGGGGAAAGTGCATTACTCAATTACTTCTTCTTGGCGCAATCGATGGTATTCAGGTTTGTCTGCGATTGTTTTTATAGTGTTAAATCTCATATTTTGGGTTCCCTTTAATTGCTACTTTGACTTATTTATTTAATTAAAAACAAGGGGTAACATTCATTTGCAGAAAAAATACTGGAGCAAGTTAAAAGCACAGCAGAAAATTGCTGTCACGGACATTCTGGTGTCTCTGTTGGAGTTTGCTGCTTCATATAACTCATCCGCCAACCTTAGAACTCGGATGCACCAGATTCCCGAGGATAGGTAGTCAATAAATCCATATCTGTTTTTCTTTGCTGATGGTGTTAAGTTCATCTGTCATTGGTATGGAGCTCTAAATCACCTCAAAATGATTCTTGGGCAGGCCACCCGTCAATCTTCTCCGCCAGGAATTAACTGGTACTAGCATATATTTGGAAATCTTACAGAAATCGACTTATGGATTTGATACAAACAGAGAGAAGAACCTGCAGTCTGACAGCTTTCAGCATGCTGATAGTAAAGTGGATGATGGCTCCAGCATTGCTCAGCATTCTGAGGTTGAAGAGAAATTTGAAAGAATAGCTGAGGAGAAACTGGTTTCTTTCTGTGAACTGGTACTGAGGGAGGCATCTGAGCTCCAATCTAGTGCTGGAGAAACCCCCAACATGGATATTCATCGTGTCTTGGAGCTGCGTGCTCCTATCATAGTGAAGGTACACAATTTGCCCTCCATGGTTTTATATGAAATTTCAAATACATTTTCTTTATTTCTGTTGTTGTAAAAGCGTCTTGTATTACAGTTCGCATCTGTGACAGAATTATGCATTTTCACGTCATGCCTTTGTAGAGCAATTTTGCCTTGAGTTGTCTGCCAACTAATTCTGCATCTTATTTCCCTGGACATGGAGGAAAAGCTCTAGCTATCTTAATTACTTACTATGTACTTGGCATGCATTCCCTTGAAAACTTTTTTGGTCTGCTTAAGGAGCCTGTGAACTAATGCTATTCCATTGTAGTAGATATAGCTTGTTCAGCTTATGTTTCCTTTGACAGGACAATTGAACTCTCTGTTTCGGATTTTTGTCTTTAGTAATTTGCAAATTACTTTCACATTCAGTTGTAACTTTTAAGATTTCAGTCAGAAAGAACATGGTTTATTGATAGTTGTTGGTCTCAATGCATTTCAGCTTTTCATGTGATGGTTCGGATCTTGAGATATTTACGTCCTCATAATTGTTTGCTCTCTCAGGTGCTTAAAAACATGTGTTATATGAATAATAAGATTTTCAGAAGACACCTCAGAGATTTCTATCCCTTGCTGACGAAGCTTGTATGCTGCGACCAGGTAATTTCTTATTTTTACAGTCATTGAAAGGCTCATTTACTTGGAAAATTATTGGGTGATTCAAACCTGGTATTTGATGAATTGCATATCTGGGAAAAAAGGAAATAAAAAGAATAGCTATAAGGCCATTCCGGAGCAGTTGCGGGACAACTAAATTTGGAATACTAATAAAATTTAAATATCAATTTTCAACCAATTTTTTTTTCCCACTTATTCTCTTTTCATGATTTTGATGCTTGCAAACTAGTTGAGGGAAATGCCCTGTGATATGCTGACATTTTTTGGGTTCGATCAGATGGACATTCGGGGAGCCCTCGGTGATCTATTTCAAGCACAATTGAAAGCACTCTTACCATAGCTACTTCTAAATGTCACTGATTATCAGACGATCCGTTTCAGCACTTTGGCCTCCCACTCTCTTCGACCTGGAACGGGAAATACTATTCAATTTTCTTTGACCTGGAAACGGGAAATATTGTATTCTTTTGCATTTAATCTTCGACATCAGTCTGAAAAGAAAATCTTCTATAGGTAATTAATTTTGTGTTGGCCTAGCCGTAGGAGTTCTATAGAAGACCGGCAATACAAATGTAATAGTCATTTTCTTCATCTATCTCGCAATAGCAGTTCGCCCAGGTCCAGTTGTTTGTGCAGTGTAGTGTTTGAACATTAGCATAAATTCTGATTCAGAACATGTGGAACCAGTTTTTGGTTGTTGTATCATAATAGTTGTGTACCCTGTTAAACCCTTGTATTCATGAGATGTCAAATACTTAGTTTTCTTAAATCATTCAAGAAAACAAAGGGAGCATTTTCCTGTTGCCCCACTCGTTGCAAATTAGTAGTTTCCTGCATATTTTCAACAGTTGAGGTTCCCGAGACACAAGAATTGGTAGAAGGCAAGCGACAGTGCCTTACCCATTAATTGTCCATGTCTGATTTGATTAATAGTTTGTCAATTCGAATTTTTCGCATGGAGTTATTTTGTTGATTTTACATTTTATATGGGTACTTTTTGTTTTTTTTTAATGCCAACATTATAACCGGTTACGACAAATTTAGGCAAACGTTGAAGCGCGGATGTGAATTTTCAAGTTCTTTATATGTATAATGAGAGTATTTAAGGTTGATCTGATAATTCTAATCGAGGCTAAATATAAGGTTTATTACGTATATAAACTACTCAATCTGTTTGCAAAAACAATTTCCATCATCATATGATTTATAAAAGTTTAACCATCAAGAGATGGACATTTCTGGTTTTTTCTTTTTTCCTTTTTCTTTTTTCCTTCATATATGCACTCAATATTCTTATTGATTCCATATATTAGGGGAGGTTTGATTAAGAAGTAGGTATTGGCAAATGTATTTTAGGAAATAGTATTGGTTAAAAGTAATATTTTAAAAAAAATCAGCTGCATATAAATTATTGTCTAAGTTTTTAAATTTTTATAAGGCAGTAAACTAACTCCTACATTTATAGTTTAGGAGTATGCACAGTGTACCCTATAATATGAAGATAAATATTATCAAACAATGATGATAAAAATAAAATAAATATGTCATATTTCATTTTTGCCAAAAAATTGAAGGATTTTGAACTCCCATTCCCCTTGGCTGGATGCATTAAGAGGAGGGGGAATAATCAAAAGTGGCTTTCATTTTCATCAACACTTGGAAGGATTCAAAAGGTGCATTGCTTCTGTGTGAGGTTTCGGGTCAAACACAAAGGTATCTTTTGGCTTCGATTCTTCCTTTCTTTCCTAGACTGTTCTTCCTGTCCTCCCACGCACGCATATTTCCAACAAAAAACAGAAAGTTATCCGGGTTCTTGTCTTCATGCGGTATTCCCCTAGAATCCAGTACTTTGTCGAACTTTTATGCAATGCTTTCCGTAACTTTCTTCGGAATCAAAGGACACAACTCTTTCCCCCCATTAAATACGCTCTTATCAGCTTCAAACCCCATGCTCGTGTTGGAGACAGGCTAAACAGAGAGAAACAGAGCAAGCAGAGACAACATGGGGTTGTACAACAATACTATGTTCCTTGCGGTTTGGTTTTGCATTGTAAGCCAATGTTTTTTGGCGAAGGGCGTGTTTGGGTTTGCTTGCAACTGGGGGACTCGTTCTACGCATCCCCTTCCACCAAAAATAGTGGTGCAGCTCCTAAAGGACAATGGGTTCGACAAAGTGAAGCTATTCGAGGCAGATCCTGCGGCACTCAGGGCTCTGGGTCGTTCAAGCATTGAGGTGATGGTTGGCATACCCAATGACCTCTTGGCTTCGCTTGCAAGTAATGTCAATAATGCTGAGGCTTGGGTCTCCCAAAATGTATCCACTTTCATCTCCAAAAATGGGGTCAATATCAGGTAACTTTCATGTTGCTCTGCTCGCTTTCTGTTTTCAGTTTACGAATCAATCCCTTTTTTCAAATTATTGTTTTTCACTTCCTTGTGTTTCAGCATACAATTTTATTAGATATAAGCGTGTGCATATGTATGTACGTACTTACGTACATATGTATAGTTTGGATGACTAAAATAAGAATTGAGTTGGTTGGCAAACAAAAGAAGGTTGGGATTGGCTTGAATTGAACCCGCATAGCCCATTATGGGTTTGGACTTTGGAGATAATCGGCTCGAGATAGATAAGGATATGATATTCCTTATTGGGCCATAGGCCACATGGGCTGGGTTAAATTAAAATGCCCACATTAAAAGGAGCATCTAATATCCTAGGTAGCCCAACTTTAGATTTGGGTTGAACTACCTTTATGTCTCTTTGGGGAGTATGACTTTATTTACATGAGATAAAAAAATATTTTGACTTCTCATTTGAATATCCATAAGAAAAGCGGCTTTCCTCGTCTCTGCCCGATGTGTGGCCCGCTTTTCTCCTCTTAAAATAGTGCCTGGAGGTACGACAAAGTTCATACGAGGAACCGTTTTCTGTAAACAAGTTCGCATGCTCTTTTCAATCTGTTATGTGTTTTAGCGGAGTTGCAAATGAATCCTTAAACCCATATCCTCATTGTGCTCTTCTACATGTTTGATCAAAGTTCCAAATGAATTTCATCCCTAACAAAAGTGCCTATGAATATTCCCAGGTATGTTGCTGTGGGTAATGAACCTTTTCTAAAATCCTACAATGGTATGTTCGTGCAATCCACATTTCCAGCCCTCAAGAACATCCAAGCAGCCCTCATAAAAGCTGGGTTAGGAAGGCAGGTGAAGGCGACTGTCCCTCTAAATGCTGATGTGTATCAGAGTGGCAGTGGCCTTCCATCAGGAGGAGACTTTAGGCCTGATATCCATAACCAAATGATGGCCATTATCAAGTTTCTGAACCAAAATGGTGCTCCTCTCGCCATCAACATCTATCCTTTCCTAAGCCTCGATGCTGATCCAAACTTTCCAAAAGAATTTGCCTTTTTTAATGGCTCTGCACAACCAGTAGTTGATGGTTCGAAAACTTACACAAATGTCCTAGACGCCAACTTTGATACCCTTGTTTCTGCTCTTGAAAAGAATGGTTTTGGCTCAATGCCCATCATAATTGGGGAGGTAGGGTGGCCTACAGATGGAAGCTCCAATGCCAATGTAAAGAATGCCCAGAGGTTCAATCAAGGGTTATTTGATCGCATCGTTAAAAAGCAAGGTAGCCCAAAGAGATCTACCCCACCAGATATCTATGTGTTTGGGCTTCTAGATGAAGATGCTAAGAGTACTGATCCTGGAAACTTTGAGAGGCATTGGGGGATCTTCAACTATGATGGGTCTCTAAAATACCCCTTGAACTTGGGTGGTGGAAAATCGCTGGTTCCTGCAAAAGGGGTCAAGTATTTGCCAAAGCATTGGTGTGTAATGTCACCACAAGCAAGTACTTCAGACCCAAATTTTGCTCAAAGTATGAGCAATGCCTGCACATATGCTGATTGCACTAGCATTTCTCCTGGATCTTCTTGTGGAAATTTGGATCCTAAGATGAATGCTTCTTATGCATTTAACATGTACTACCAAACCATGGATCAGCGCAAGGATGCATGCAATTTTAACAATCTTTCAATGGTCACTAAGATAGATCCTTCACCCCCTCAAGGTGGCTGCAAGTTTGAGATCATGATTGATCTGGGGAAGCACGAAACTAACTCCGCTTCGCTGGCTGTCCCAATGATGATGCTGAATTCAATAGTCATGCTGGTATCAAGCTTCATGCTCATCATTCCACTTTGTGGAATTAAATTTATTTATTCTTTATTGTTTTTAGTGTTGTGCAGAGTTGGCTATTATCACGATTTTCTTTTGTATAGTTTTATTTTCATCAAGATTATCAATCTCTGTGTGATCGGTTGATTATTGAAATGATCTTATCCTTTAGAGCCAATGTCAATGGGCATTTATATGATCTGTCTTTTTAGTTTACGCATCCATATTCTATTCCCATGCGAGATTTAATCAACCAGTCATAACCGTGCATATACTTGGCCAGTGGCCCTACTCTCCTCCCTTCTGTGCCATATCCCTCTTTTCATATTGCAGGATCTACTTTTTAGATTTGCATCATCATGAGATACAATAAACTCATCGCATTCTTCTTCGATGAGAGCAAAATTATTCCATCAGCTATAAGGATGATCTCTTAAGCTTGTCTTCTCCTAGCGAAGTTGAGTCATTCCTGGATACATCATTACCAAGAGAAAATTCTAGCTCAGAAGGATCACTTGGTGATAGAAAAGCTTTGAATTTGGCAGTAGATGTGCTCTTCCATATTTCAATCCTTTTTGGGCATTGCTTTTTGTGGATGACAGAGTGTAATAAAAGGATCGGCATTTGTTCATCTGCACCGCACAGTTACTTCCATAAGTTGAAGTGGTCATTATTAGAAGGTAAAATGTTGCTGAAGTATTCCATTGGCAACAAACTCGTATATGCATAATGAAATGAGACTTGATTATGATGGGGCCAATATAGCTGTTGGATCAGGAGGTGGTTCTGTAACGAAACCGTGTTCTGCCCAATAACTATAGCTTTGTATTTATGTGTTGTTTAGTCTGTAACAGACAAAGACAGGTAAATTATGTCAGGGAGACATTAATGAAATGATTTTTAACCTTCTCCTTAACTAAAACTTCGGTGAGGGAAGCATCAAGTGCAAGTGGATGAAGATGAACGACAGGACAGATATCAAGCTTCATAAGCATTCGAGGCATTGATCAGAATAAAGATGGATGTAAAGTTCAACGGTTTAACAATATTTGTCACAAGGACTCATCACCATCTCACAATGATGGCTTTGAAAAGAAGAAAAAAAAAATCGACATCATCTGCTAATAATTAATGGTACAATGAATCTAGTTACGCATGTCTGTGCGACACAGCAACTAAACTCAATGCTCATGATGGTAACTTGCAAGTATTGATAATTAGGAATAATCAAAAGCATTTCACTCAAAAAAAAAAAAACGAAAAAACAAATCATCACAAGCATGCCAACATTGAATCAACTAAGTATACTTTTTTTTTAAATATCTAATAAAAGTTGAAGTAAGTAGGATGTTAGTACAGTGCTCCAAAAAAAGAGTTGGAAGTTAGTAAATTGCAAGAAAAGTTATCGTGTAATCTCATATAAACAATTTAATCATTAAAAAGTAACACAGCAAGGTAGTAGTAGGCAGCCGGTGGAGGCAATAAATTGGAGCCGCTGCTTATGTGGCAATTGAGATTATGAGAGGTAGGGGAACGCAAGGTTCGCTCAGTGAGCCATCGTCGTCTCTAGGTTCTATTCTGGAAAGGATTTGGAAGATTTGGAGATTGTTTTGTC